AAAAATGCAACAAATTATTAATTGACGTGACAGACAAAAACGACATAGAGGAATTGATCAAAAATTATCATGAAAGCAAATCAAACCACCGCGGAATCGACGAAACCTTCAACAGAATCAAAGACAAATATTATTGGCCCCATATCAAGGAATCAGTACAAACATATATCAATAACTGTGAAATTTGTCAGCAAAGTAAATATGAACGACATCCTGTACGAATGGCAATGAACATTACACCAACAGCGTCAAAACCTTTTGAAATAATTCATTTAGATACATTCACCCTCGAACAGTCAAAATTTCTAACTATTGTTGATAGCTTTTCAAAATACGCTCAGGCATATTATTTGAACTCGTCCTGTGGCACTGAAATTGTCGATAATCTGATTAATTTCTTTTCACATCATGGTACCCCTAAACAAATAGTAGTTGACAACGGCACTGAGTTCAAAAACTCTGTGGTAACAGAACTCTTAAAATTACATAAAATTGACACTCACTTTTGTAGTCCAAATCACCCTCAATCCAATGGAATTGTCGAAAGATTCCACTCGACGTTGATTGAACATATTCGGATATTAAATACAAACGGATTCTTGAAAACTCCAATCAGAAAGAAAATAACTTATGCAATTTTAGCCTATAATCATTCTGTACACTCCGCAACAAAATTCAAACCTATTGATATAATTAATGGACATATTACAGATAACAATCCTTTTAATATGGAGATTGATCAGATATTGGTGAATGACTATATCAATGATCATAGAGAAAAATCGAAATTACTGTATTCCAAAATTAATTCAGACCTCATCACGCTCAAAACCAAGACTATAGAAAAACTCAATGTTAACCGAGACAAACCCGAAATATTTCAACCAGAACAGAAAACCTTCGTGAAAAAACATATCAGACAAAAACAAGCGAATAAATTCAACAAATCTACACAATTGAAAACGGTCAATAACGACTCGAAAACAGCTTCGACTTCAACACAAGAAAAAATACATATGGACAATTTAAAACGCCCACTGAAACAGACATATACTTTCAAAAAATAAAAACGTTTCGTCTCTGTTATTTCAGAATCCCGGGGATCCTCGGCCTTCAGGAAAAAATTCAACTCCAAAAGCTAGAAAATAATCCAGGCCTTATTCCAGTTAAACTCGGAACAGCCAAAGTCGAACAATATACACATACACTTATTCATTATTATGATATGAATCCCATAATCTCTGAAATCGGGAAATTAAGATCAAAATCTCAAAATCTTACTAGCCTTATACTAACCAATAAAGATTATTCTTTCGATACATCAAACTATCTAAAAATCCTACAATTTACTGAAGAAAAAGTTGAGACAAAATTGAAAAATATACTTCCACATCATAATATTCACAAAAGAGGCTTAATTGACGGTCTGGGCTCAATCTTCAAGTCCGTTACTGGCAATTTAGATGCCTATGATGGTAAACGGTATGAACAATTGATTTCTCAACTAGAATCAAATCAAAAACAAATTGTTTCAAATATGGGTAAACAATATTCTCTATCTCTGAATGTCATAGATAAATTCAATAAAACAATCCAAAGGATCAATCATAATGAGCAATTGATTACTTCAAAATTGAACCAAATAGCACTGATAGTCGAAAGTCATACATATAGAGAGAATTCAATGCTAATAAAAGATATTCTCAATCAAATTATAAATATGTACGAAATAATTAACTCCATCCTTCAGGACATTGAAAATTCCATCACATTTTCGAAAATACAAGTTATGCATCCGAGCATTATTTCAATAAATGAGCTGTTTACAGAATTGAAAAAATTGAATAACCAAACTGAATCTAAACAATTACCATTCGCAGTAACATTCAATAATACAGAATATTTTGAGAGACTGATCAAAATCGATAGCTATTTACTCAATAATAAAATCACATATATTCTTCATATTCCAATAACGTTTCCTTTTGATTTCGAATTATATCACTTTTATTCAACACCAGTATATTCAAAGGGTCAGTTTAAGGCAATCATTCCAAAGAATAAATTTTTGATAAAAAACGAGATGTACTTTGCATTCCTGAGTGATACTTGCAAAGAAATCCTTCCTCGATGGTACATTTGCGACAAACAAGAACTACGAGAAGTCGAAGACGGTCCCTGCGAAACTGCTTAATATCAAAAACACCTCCACATGCCACCAGACTCGGGTCCACTTGACCAGACCACTGCTGAACCACCTCGACGCATCCAATCGACATCGAGTTAGAAGACCTCCGATTAGACGAACTGCAAGAAATCCGGACCCAAGTGATAGAAAATCAACCCGATTTTCACTTGAACGGGATTCCTCCCTATGTCCCCAGTGCCTGGACAATCATCATATACGGACTTCTAGTTGCTGCCGCATGCTACCTAGGATACAAGAAGATAGCCAATAGGGTTCGAGCTGCAACAACCCCAGAGTTAGACCACCGCGATGTTCGTCTTCCTCTCTAACCCTCGGAAGCCGAAACTATGGGGGGAGGAATTATGTCGCCACTCAACATAGGTTCCCACAAGAAGATGCTGACATTGCTGATCCCACAGTTTGGATTCCCTGAAACCACCGTTTCCATGAAATCAGCAAGATCGTCGTGTACCCAGCGAGAGCCGTTCTGCAGTCAGTTCTTAACTCAACTCCGTATGTTAAACATCTCTTGTACATAATTTGTCAATCATACGTGTATACGAAAAATAAAGTTTTTAAAAAGGGACTTCGAGCTATCGGAAATATTATTCACTATTTGACACTAATCAATTTGGATTCAGAAAAGGAAAAAATACTAAATCATGAAAATCATCCATACCTCAAAGTGGCCCGAAGTAATTTCAAAAGAAAAACAATGAAAATCTCAAAGTCGGTCGACCACACTTAATGAATTTTTTTTTTTTAAATTAAGTACATGTAACCGGTTTCGGCGCAACGGCCATCATCTGACAAGAAAGTACCTGTGAAAAGAATAATGTGACAATACAAATAGAGGAAAGTGACAAACTTATTAAAAACATACCAAAGTATGAAGCTATTGAGGAGCATTATGGATAGAATCAAACATGAGGGCAACTCAAGTCGTCAACAGGCTATCAGAGTCAGGCACATATGGTTCTTTTTGAATTTGGTAAAGAGCCAGAAAAAACTGGCTCTGATAAGATTAAACACCTTATCTTGAAGGTTTTTTATTATAAACTACATAATAAAATTAAGGAAGCCATATCAATCATCAATGAGCGATGGAACATGGAAATGGAAAAATTTCAGACGAATTGAAAGATGAACTAGACTTGGACACTTGAACACAATAGAACAGTGGTAACACCAGGAAATAAACGAAATAGTTACATCTTATCTTATCTTTGAATAAGTGAAAATTTGATATTTTTTCTATATACCTTTATTTCTCTTCTCCAAAATTTTTTCAATACAAATTGTCACTGACAAGCTTTTAGGCTCTCTGATAGGAGAATTCTTTGAACGCAGTGACATTTTGGGGCAAATCATCTGATTTGTCCTTACTACACGTATATTGAAATAATATTCATATTTTTATTTTATAGAAACGAGGAGAGAAAATCCCAAAAAATTTGGAATAATGAATGCACCACCTCCTAGTATTTAACAGATATTGAAGATATTTCAGCATACGTTACTGGCCACGCAGATCATAATGAATTATTTTTCAATGAAATAAAAACAGAGGTATATCTTTTCTCAAATTATCACAAAATCCACTCCACTAGATCAAAATCGATAACATTTTTGGGAGTTCGATTCATTTCTCACATGGGCCACACATATTGATGATATCTGTAGTTAATTAGGAAGATCAGTTATGCTATTAGGCGTATAGTATACCTTGACAGCATATTGTGCAATGTTTCATTCAGTGATGAGCTATGGGTTGCTGTGCTGGGGTGATTCTTGCTTCACACACCTACATAGAGTGTTTACACTACAAAAAGCGGCTGTACGAAGCATTGCAAAGGTTAATTATACTGAACATTGCCAACCATTTTTTAAAAATTTAGGCATTATGACATATATATTATACATATACATTTACCACACACTCAGGCATTCATGATCATAATACCAGATATAAGCATATAACATCGTACCTCATAGAAGGACATTAGAAAAAAGCAAATCTATAGGAATATCTCTTTTCAATTCTCTTCCCACAGATATCAGAGACGTGCCGTGAGATCATTTTAAAATAAAGCTGAGAAAGATTCTGGTAGGAAATAATCTCTACAAAATCAACCACTTCACTGAGTTGATCAGTGACTCTTGTAGACAACTAGTGCTATTTTAATTAAAATTTTAATTTCAATTGATTTTATCATTCATACTTTTTCGTTTGTGACTTTTCTGTTTCTTTGTACGACGTGTCCATAACTTGTATACGATGGATGTAATATAATATAATATAATAATATATTAGGTACTTACACCAAATGTGTAGATATCTTCCTTGTCCTCCATGAGGAAAATGACGGTACCGTCCGAATAATTGGATAATATTTATGATTAATTTCTTGAAGTTGTGAGTATTTGATTATACCTGATATTTCATTGCATATCTCAAAATATTCTGCATGAAGAAAACAGTCAGGGGATCGTTAATGAAAGTACTAATAGGTAGGGGTCATAGGATCGATCCTTGGGGTACACCCAATCCTGAGACATAGTCTTCATACTCTTCCTAAAAAAAAAACAGTGATTCAATTCTGTAGTGGGGCTAAGGAAAATCAGAAAGTCACAAGGAATTTAAAAATAATGCCTTATTACTATCAATGCCTGAGATGATAATCACCTATTTATGCATTTGACGGTAGTTTGTTTCCCTACTGATACTGATATCCAGCTTTGATCAGATATTTGTACAGTATAAATGATATATTATTAAGTTCAGTTCACTGCAGTTGTGCGTGACTTTGAAGTTTTTGTTACAACTCGCACTGAAATATTCGTATACTGAGGATCTGTCTGAAAAAATATCAATATTTCATAAAAATGGTCAATTTTTTTTTTCCAATTTCAAGAAATCCTAGACGGTGGTCGTTATTTTTAATGCTGATGATGATATACCATACTCACTATATCGATGACTTATTGAATGTTCTACTTTCACATAAAATCTAATATTTTTTAAATTGAATTGACGCAAAGTTTTTCAATATCCATTCGTCACATGATTTTTCTTGCAGAATATTGTATTGGAGGATACAGATAAGAATGACGTACTTCGGCAAAAACGAGGAGTTGACAAGCAATATTCCTTTGACGTCGTGTTTGGTGAAAATTCAACTCAAGAGGAAGTCTATGCTATCACAACCAGTAATCTAGTCAAAGACGTCTTAAATGGGTAAGTCTTTGAGGTAAATTTACCAGTTGATTTTTGCAATATCCAGAAAGTACAGCTGCATGGATAATTTGACAGATCATATTGAAACGTTGAAAAAGTGTGAAATAGCATGAACGCATGCGTGGGAAAGCGTAGAGGAGTGTGAAAATGGTATATTGTGCAACAAGTGAGGAAAGTGCTTTTCCCCACATGTTGCACACTATACTTTTTCTACAACTGCACTTATTCAAAGAATCCGAGTAATGTAGCTTATTGGTATTCATTTTATAATGTGGCACTATGCCACATTGAATATTGTGACTAAAGAGTAGACGCCTCTCCTAGTTCCTCAAAGTATTTCAAAAAAGTACACTTTCCAAAAAAGATTTCATTTCTGTATTTTTTCAAATTCCATAAAGTTTTCGTTTATGGCAATTTATTCTTTTTTCTTGAAAATCCAACTTTCGCATCTTCTTCCATTATCTCTGTCTCTGGCGGTGTATTTATCAAAATCGTCACATCTCGGTATATACATCATGTTATTTATAATGACTAGTTGGAATAATATTTGATGGAAAATGCGATTTCTATCAAGAGCACTAATGGATCTTTCCTAAAGAATTTCTTCTGACAGTTGTGACAACTATTCAAAGCTGAACAGCAGCCAAGTTTTGGTCGATTTTTGTTGATTCTAAATGGAAATGTATGTGGTGTTGGCAAAGTGCCGTGAGAAAAAATATTTCTCACAGTATGAGCAATACATGGTTTTGAAACTAAGTAAGCTATGAGAAATGCGCTACTTTTCATAGCAGTAGTAGAAAAAGTAACTTTTCCGCACGCTCGTAGGAAATACAATTGACGGAATAACTGAAATCTCAAGTGAAAAAACATTGTTTTCTTCGCTGAAGTAATGAAATCTGATGTAACAGGTACAATGGGACAGTTTTTGCTTACGGACCAACAGGAGCAGGAAAAACTCACACGATGGTAGGAGATAGGACTCAGCCTGGAATTATGATCAGAGCTCTGAACGACATCTTCGAAGCAGTGAAGAACAACGAGGATGAATATTCGGTATGATTTTTTTGAATTCTGGAATTTGTTTGCTTGGAAGGCAAAACGAAGGCAAAACGACACAAAAAACCATTTAGACCTAGGGTCCACAACGTGTTTTTTGTGCCCCATTTGTTCACACTCAGCAAAATAAGAACCTTTCAGATTCCACCATTGGGCAGTAGCACTATACAGGGTGAGTCATGAGGAACTGTACATACTCCTACCACGAATAGAGGCCCCCTCAGAAAGCGTCTTCTTCTCTTCTTTTTCAATATATAGGGTGAATTAGGAGATTTGGCAAAAATATCTTTTGGTCAAAACTTTCCAACAGCTTCTTGGATTCGTCCGATTTTTTCATGAAATATTTCGCTACTACTCTCTTATCGACTGACTCATTCAGAATAGGGAATATCCAGGACCGTTCTTCAAAATTTCAACAGTTATTTAGTTTATAGCAAACAGTTCATCCTGTATATCGTTTTTGTAAACTGTGACAGGAAATTCTCAAAGGTCACAAACAAAAACATCAAGAATATGATATGCCAAATTTGCCTCACACTTTCACTGCAGTTTGGAAAAACAATAAATTTTACGAAAACACGAAAATTCTGCAAAACATTTATTTATTTGGAAATTTATACTTCGCAACCCATGAATTCAACGAATAAGAGTGAGACTTACATTTTTAATGCTTCAGCTCAATGGAAATCAACAATAATTTTATTTTCAGGCCTGGTAGTAATTCATTTTTTTTTTGTAATTCATTGAAAAAGTCCATCATTTCCAACAATAGAGTTTATATTGTGCGTCTATCGCATAGGGATTGTAATATTTTCATATTTACGTATCCTATGACATTAGTTCTACTGGTATAGGTAAATGCTTCCGAGCATAAGTTCATTTTTATATTTTGGCGAAGGAGCATCGCGCTTTCGGTAAAAATTACTGTAATAATTTTCCGGAAATTGAGGTGGTTCCATGGCTGTTGACGAGCAGTGTATATCACTGAAGATGACCCCACTTGGTCATAGAGTGCATTTTTGGTATATCTCTCGCTCCAGCGAATTTCAGGATCCTTACCCAACGATAACGTAAGATACAGGGTTGTTTCCATTATAGAAGTGGGTCACACTATATATATATATCTATTTTTTTATGATCAGAATATTCTTCTCCAATAAAGTCACTTTCTTGTTGGATGGATTTTAATGACTTTGAAGAAAACATTCCATTTTCATAATGGAATGACTGTCATCAAGAATTCGTGTATCAGTTAATGATCAAACTTTGCTTCTTAGTATCAGTCAGTCATGCAAGTATGATATTATTTCTGTTGTAGCTTGATGGAACTGGAATAACTGATTCATATTTATTGATTTTTCAATCTTATAAATGGATTATCTGTGCATATCTGTGGAATACAGTTTGTGATTGATGAATTTGTGAGACTTAGAATTTTTTCTCCATGCGGTATCGAAAGTGGCTTTTTTCTACGGCCATAACACAAAATTGCTCTTGTTTTACTGTGTTCGATACATCAATGAGGTACTTTGTATGTCATCAATTTTCTTTCCGTATCTGATATCACAATGACTCCATTGTGTGTTATTTCAAAATAATCTCATATCGCTCATGGAATGTCAAAATGCAAGCAATGACAGCTCTGTCTAATATAGATGAGCATTACTTGACAGGAAATCAGATGGCTACAAGCCGAAGAAATCGAAAATGCCGCTGTTATCTGTTATACTGTCGTAGAAAAATTATAGTGTATAACTTGCAGGGAATGATAATTTCCTACTCGAATGATTGCAGCATTCGCCTATGGTTCATGCTGCAAAGTTCATTCTCGTAGGAAATCACTATCATTCCTCGCTCGTTAAACAATATACCAATTCTCTGACACCTAATAGGTGGAGGTGTGTACTTTCTATGCCAAGGCAGGAAAAGTTTGTTGCTATGCAACGTTCCAAGTAATTTGAATTAAATTGGTAATCGAAATTGACACTGACATTGAGTGAGCACACAATGATGGTGTTTTAAATTGAAAAAAAGTACACAATAGTTATTTTTCTATCTACGGCGCGTAATGCTACTTTGGTGATCGAGAACAAATATTCGAAGTATTTCGCGCACTAGGTGCAAACAAAATGTTTTCTACAAACGTCAAAAAACATAGTTTTAAAGTAGTAATATGCTTAGCTTGATATACAAATTGTGTTGAACTGGCTTAAAGGTCTCTCCCTATCCTCCCTAGGTACGCACGATGTTTCACGAACATTATCATCATCAATAATTATTGTTTATGTTCTAAAATTACTAAAATGCAAATATCGTCAGAACCATGAGAGCAATCGAGTTTTATCAAAAGTACCTTTTTTAAAGTAAATGAGTTGCGCAATCTAAATTTCATACCCAAACTCCTTTTCTTCCATTGGCGTAGAATTTTTAAAGGTGCAATTATTTAAAAAATCAAGTTCCACGCCTATGTATTATTATCGGACAAAATTTTGACACCATTTTTTTTGCCACATGAAACTCTATCAGTATACCAAATTTCAGCAAAATCGCATATGCCGATTTGAATTTATATGGGAAAAAACAATTTAAAAATTGTGACTTGAAGGCCCTCTGGAGCCCAAACGATGCAACTTTGTACTGAGGTAATTTTACTTAAATCGACTTATTTTCGTCTAAGGAATATGTGGTATGTTTTTGTAAAGAACTTTTACAGGCATCCTGTATACCAGGTGGCTACGGAAGTATTGCTTACGGAATATCTCAGTTATTGTATGAAGTAGGTTTATGAAATTAGCAGCGTCGATATAATGACATAAGAGCTAGAATTTGAGCATATTGACATGTCGAAGTTAACTTCCGGTCTGACCGGAAGTAACATCAACTGTTTTATTTTAAATGGAAACCCTATTTTTTTTCTTTTCGCTTTATTCAGCATTCAATTCCCTTTCTTATGACATATCACAAGTTGGTATCTAACCAGAAACTAGATCAGAAAAAAATAATCATTATTGAAATACACCGAATAGGCCGTGGAAGCAAAATGAAAGCCAAAAATTGAAAAGTTGGCTATGGAAACCATACGTCACTTGATAACAGTTGCTACTACTGTGATATTTCATTTTCATTCGTCGGCGTTATAAAAAGCCGCCAAAAAAATATTGAAAAAATTGGGAAAAAAACAATACTCTGTAGGTCCATAACTTAAATAGGAACATACAACTTTTTCTTGCCCGTACTATTCAGCATAACCAATCCTTTCTAATGATATAATAGAAAGTCATTTTTTGGCTTTCATTTTGCTTCCACGGCCTACTCGGTGAATTTCAATAATAATTTTTTTCTGATCTAGTTTCTGGTTAGATACCAACTTGTGATATGTCATTAGAAAGGGAATTGAATGCTGAATAAAGCGAAAAGAAAAAAAAAAGGGTTTCCATTTGAAATAAGAAAGTTGATGTTACTTCCGGTCAGACCGGAAGTTAACTTCGACATGTCAATATGCTCAAATTCTAGCTCTAATGTCATTATATCGATGCTTCAAATTTCACAAACCTACTTCATACAATAACTGAGATATTCCGTAGGCAATACTTCCGTAGCCACCCGGTATATATGTATAACACACGCACGCAGTTTCAACCATTCAAATAGGAAACAAGAATATCGAGAAAGCTGAAAAATATACTCGAGGATCCTTGAACTCCGTTTTTCAATCATGCACCTATCTATACTCAATACAAGTACCCAATTTATTATCCTTTTGAATATTGTTGATAAGGCTTTCTCTATAAAAGTGTCATGAATCAAGGACCCTAGTACGATAGAGTATAGTATTCCATTCTTATGGAGAACAATGATATATTGTCTGTTATAAGCCGCTAACAATGATTGTGCAGAATAGATAATAGAGTATATATCCTGCATGTGTTTGAGGATCGATTAACAGCAAGTTTATATCGGAAGTTCATCAATTATTTATCAATTTTCCTCGCATGTTTGTAAGCTCGTTTCAATGATCTGTAAAGTTGATCGTAATTGACTATATTTTGCCTAAATATTTAATTTCGATTCATGAAGATTTGAACTATACCCTCGGGTTCAGATCCAAAAAGCATTGTTAAACTAGGTTAAAAGATTTTCGGCTATCATTAAAAAACTTTGGTTTGATTGAAGACAGAATATATGAACGTTGTATCTGGCCTGGTTCAGTATAAACTGCTCTAGACAGGCAGCATTCCATCGATGGCAGAAAAATTCAGACCTTGAGACTAGAGCAGAATATGTCGAGGCTAGAGGCATATGCAATGAGATAATTTGATCATCAAAGGATGCTCATAATGCTTAAATGAGATTTGAACTTGTTGAATGCCCTAACGAATCCCGTTCATTTTGGTAATTCGCCAAAGCTGTAGGAAGAAACTTCACTTCCAGCTCGTTTCCTCCTCTAACCAAGGAAGATGGAACTCTAGCCACAACTGCCCAGGAGAAAGCCAACATTTTTGCGTATTCATTTGCTAAAAATTCTACTCTGGGTTCATTGAGAAAACAACCTCCAAACATAACGCCAATTGACAGTCATATGCCCGAGATCACCTTTCGCCAACGTACTATAAGGAAGATTTCATTGGGTCTCAACACCAACAAAGCTTGTGGCTCCGACGGAATCCCACCGATTGGTTTCAAGAAATGTGCCCCCGAACTAACACCTGTTCTCTGCAAGTTGTTCAACTACTCTTACAAATTGGGGATATTCCCATCCAACTGGAGTACAACCAGTTCCTAAAAAAGGAAAGAGACCCTACCTAGCAACTACAGACCGTTCGCACTGCTATTTATTATTTCAAAGTTCATGGAGAAAGCTATCAACATCGAGCTCATGAAAAACCTGGAACATTCAGGTATTATCAACGATAGGCAATATGGCTTCCGTCATCAGAGATCAATTGGTGACCTGCTCGCTTACGTCTCACATATATGGCAGCAATCTATTGAAGAATATATTGTGAAACCTCAGCCGTGGCACTTGATATCTCCAAGGCATTCAATCGAGTCTGGCACCACGGACTCCTCGCCAAGCTTCCATCTCATGGGTTGCCTCCCCAGCTATGTTCTCTGCTTGCTAGTTTTCTCTCAAACAGGTCTCTCCATGTAGTGGTCGACGGAGTTTCATCTGACTCTCTTATAATAAATGCTGGTGTTTTGCAAGGATCAATTTTTACACCAACACTATTTCTACTCCATATCAACGATTTGTTGGAAGCAACTTCATGTCCAGTACACAGCTTCGCGGATGATAGTACCCTCCATACCTCCTTTTCTTCCAGAGCACCAATACCAGCCAGGCAAATCAGAAACGAACGAGAGAGAAATGTTGACAACATAAATATGGACTCGGCAACAATTCTCGAATGAGGATCCAATAACTTGGTAGATTTCAATGCAAACAAAACACAAGCATGCCTTTTCTCTAGAAAAGCCAATCTCACTGGGCCCAACATGAGCTTGTCAGGAGTAACCATACCTTTGAAGACATCCATTTCAATGCTTGGTATTACTATCAGCTATAACCTTTCTTGGGAAAATCACGTGAGATCAATTGCTAAAAGTGCATCCCAAGAACTTGGTTTTCTGTTTCGGGCCAGGTGCTATTTCAGTTCCAGTCAGATGCTTATGATCTATAAGGCACAGATCTGACCTGTCCTGGAATACTGTTTCCATATTTGGAGTGCAGCACCCAAACATACCCTGAAACTGTTGGATTTTGTCCAAAAAAGGAAAATTCTTCTCGTGGGTGATGCCTCGCTCACAAACTCACTCACTTCTCTGGAACACCGTAGAAAAGTTGGCGATCTGGCTCTATTTTATAGCTATTTCTATGGGCGATGCTCTTCTGAAATATCAACAATCGTTCCTCCCTTGGCAGTCCCCGCGAGATTAACCCGTCGAGTTGAGGTTTCGCACCCCTTCGTGGTCACTTTGAAGACCTGCAGAACATCTCTTTCCAAAGACTCGTTCATCCAACGAACAGCAAAGTTCTGGAACACATTGCCAAGGGAGGTGTTCCTCGAGGCATATAACCTCTAGAAATTTGAGAAGAACACCAATTCCTACCTTATTTCTCTTAGTTCTCACGATGTTCTCTGACCATTACAGGATATCCCTTTCCGTGGGAACCAGAACATTAAAAAGAAATTACTGTTGTTGATTGGCAAATCCCAATACATTTCAATGAATGAAACCATCAATTATAAACCCATTTTACAGTTTATATGGGGCCCGGGACAGGTCCTTGTGGAACCCCAAACTAAATGACATTTCCCTGGATCGAATCATCTCCAATTCTGTAGTAGACTTTATTATTTCATACATTTATTTCAATTGCAGGTTACGATGTCCTATCTGGAGATATATAATGAGCAAATCAGAGATCTGCTCAATCCTCAGTCTGGATTTCTAGAGCTGAGAGAAGATTCAAAGGGTCGGAATATTCAAGTAACTGGGCTTTCAGAAATTTCAACTACTTCCACGGATGAGGTGAGCTATTGTAATGTTCTATTTTGAACGAAAAACTATGGACTATACAGGGTGTTTTAGATTTAAATGTACACACGATACCTTCAAATAGAGGACATTTTGATGGTTCCAAATCACCCCCCATTGATGTATCTACCGTCTTTTATACCTGAGATACAGGACGTTATCTTGATTTTTGCAAAATCTTCATCTGGTCATAATTTTAGAACCACTTTGTATAATCTGTCCATACTTGGTAGAAATATTTCACTTATGAAATCCATCAAAACTGGAAGAAAATCAGAATCAGAATCCAGGTCCGTCTTGAGGAAAAACATTCGAACAGTTAGTCCAGGAGAAACACGTTCTTTTGGCAAAGTGTTATGGAGCTGAATAGCTATAGTACAGATGTTCGAGTGCTCTTTCTTTTTAGAAATCAATGATCTAAAATTGTATCGGTCCTGATTGGAAGAATAAACATTTTTTTATTCGCCAGAGATTTTTGAAAATCCCAAAAATTCTGGATTCTCCACCATTTTGTTTCTTTCAATTATTGGATTTTCAAATGTTCCATTGTGTACTACAGTTCTTTATCTCTGAAATAACTCTAAGAAATCCAAATTCGATTGAATTTTCATGAAGCCTGAAGCAAAATAATAATAATCGTTTATACGAGATTAGCACATTCACTCCATAACAAATTGCAAAGAAATGAGTGTATCTACTGGACTATTTGTTCGATTTCGATGTTCGAGTACTCATTCTCTTCAGAAATGAATAGCCTGCTAAGATGACATCGGTACAGGTTGGGAAAAATCTGATTTTCTTGTTCTCCAGCGGTTTTTTTAAAAGACAATACTTTGGTAGAATCCGCCATTTTGTTTTTGTTCATTATGAAATTCTCAAATATTCCACTATACAATAGCCCTTTAGCTATGAAACGACGCCAAGAAATACGAATTCGGTTGAGAAATGATGAAACCATGAGGAAAATAAAAACTTCCGGTTTTTATGTGACCACCCGATAGATAGGTAGTTGAAAATCATGGTTCTGAAAGAGAGGGAATAACAGTTTCAGTGGTCGTATGACACAATTTCATGATGTTAAATATTTATATCAATGAATGCTCTATTTATTTCTTTTTAAATGGTAGGTACACCTTATTTGGAATCGATTTCAGAGTAGAATCCTTATTTTCTCAATTATTCACGATTTGACCAACTTTCGTTCAAATATCAGTTGCATGTAACAATGTTTTCTTGCATAAATAACTCCTCAATTTGTAGTTTTGATGATAGAGTAGGATATGTCAATAGAAGAATTAATGATGACATTGATTGATGCTTCGTAATGGATCGAAAACGTGTTCCTAAAGCATTTCAATCATTAAAGAAATTAACTTAATTATTAGAAGTTTATTGAAACAAGTGAATATAATTACTACACTCAAATGTACAGTGCTTCCGTAAAGTACCTACTGAATACATTCATTTTTAGGTAATCTACCAATTTCAAAAAAATCTTCTTTAACAGATCGTTTCAACTATTAAATTTTCCACATTTTGAAAAAATATATATACAGGGTAATCCAGGTCTGAGTTATGACGTCCACGACATTTTGTCAAATGTACACCCTATATGGTATTGAATTTATCGAATCTCAGTAGGAAGCTGAATTCAAAATCAAGAGAATATAACACATAGGTATTGTGTACCAATAAAGTCAGTTCTATTATAAAATAGGATTGCTATTAAAAAAATACCTTGGCGACAATTCTCGAATGGGGATCCAATAACTTGGTAGATTTCAATGCAAACAAAACACAAACATGCCTTTTCTCTAGAAAAGCCGATCTCACTTTGCCCAACATAAGCATGTCAGGAGTAACCATACCTTTGAAGACATCCATTTCGACGCTTGGAATTACTATCAGCAATAACCTTTCTTGGGAAAATCACATGAGATCAATCACTAAAAGTGCATCCCAAAAACTTGGTTTTCTGTTTCGGACCAGGAGCTATTTCACTCCCAGTCAGCTGCTTATGATCTATAAGGCACAGATCCGACCTGTCCTGGAATACTGTTTCCATATTTGGAGTGCAGCACCCAAACATACCCTGAAACTGTTGGATTCTGTCCAAAAAGGGTAATTCGTCTCGTGGGTGATGCCTCGCTCACAAACTCACTCGCTTCTATGGAACACCGTAGAAAAGTTGGCGATCTGGCTTTATTTTATAGATATTTTCATGGACGATGCTCTCCTGGAATATCAACAATTGTTCCTCCCTTGGCAGTCCCCGCCAGATTAACCCGTCGAGTTGAGGCGTCGCACCCCTTCGTGTGGTCACTTTGGAGACCTGCAGAACATCTCTTTCCATAGACTCGTTCATCCAACGAACAGCGAGGCTCTGGAACACATTGCCAAGGGAGGCGTTCCCCGAGGCATATAACCTCCAGAAATTTGAGAAGAACACCAATTCCTACCTTATTTCCCTTGGTTCTCACGATATGTTCTCTGAACATTACAGGATATCCCTTTTCGTGGGAACCAGAACATAAAGAAAAAACTTGAGACACCCAATATACAATGGTAGAATATTAAGAGGAAAAAGCATTGAACTGGCAAATTTGGATTTTATGTGACCTTCAGTAAAATGAATGGCTAACGCCATACTACGTCCAACGTTCAGATATCCCAGGAGGATATGTTGCAAATTAAATCAACCTACAGGGTGTGCGGAAATATGCATATAAATCAAGGGGTGATTCTGCATGAGAAGTCATGAAATTTATTTCTAATATATGTGGGTCCGGAAATGCATAGTTTTGAAGATACAGTGTGTTGAAATTTAAAAAAAAAATCGTTTTTTCATGAATATCTCAAATATTCTTCCACTGATTCTTCCGGGATTTGGCAATGATATTCTTTTTCATGAGCGGCTGATAATTTTATTGGAATTGTAAAGTCCAGTGGCGTCCCGGGGGCATCCTGGCGAATATTATTGTCAATAAAATGTACGCCACTGATTTTTTCTTGAATTCTTCATCTTCATATCCTATTGACCAATTAAAAATACATTTTGGTCTAATGAATTGTTTTGATATTTTGCTTCGTTTCCGTGGAAAAAAATTAATACCAGTTTATTGTATAAATTTGTGCAAAACATTTCTTCAAAAACATGGGTGCAAATAAATGTGTGATCCATGTCCATAGACATAGAATAAGAATGAAGATTCATTTTCTTTCAATATTTCATAATAAACGTTTGACACACTTCGTATTATTGAAAACTACTCCTTCTTAGACCGAGAATACATAGTTCTCAATATGCAAAGTGTAGAGTGTGTTAAACATGCATTATGTGATATTTGAAGAAAATTGATCTTCATTCTCATCGTTTCATGTCTATTGACAAGGATCACGCATTTATTGTCACCCCAGTTTCTGAAGGAATTTTTTGGCACAAATTCATGAAATAAATTGGTATTTATTTTTTTCACGAAATGAAGCAAAATATTAGGACAATTCATAAAACCAGAGTATTGTACCACCGAACATGTTTATGTTCGGTGATTGTACTCTTTTAGTTGGACAGTAGGTTGTAATGCCCCCAACTTTCTTCGTTCGTTGGCCTACTACAGGAGGTCGTTACAAATTATTTTTTTTTTTCGATCAATTGGTTCGTGATTATTGAGGCAGGAGGCAGACTGAGATATAGATAGTTACTGAGACATATATTCAGGCAGTATGGTCAGGCAGAGGTTACAGGCAACAAAATCAAAGTTTGCTTACATTTTAGATTGCACATTTTTGGTACACTGTTCACTTGTTTTTAATTGGCGAGAGATTCACTTCACTTTTACGTCTCAGTCACAAAAGTTGCAGTTTACAATAAATCTACCTGAGTCGTTACTTACACAGGTATTATATTAACGAAGTTCACTGGTACTGTTCGAGACATCGTACTGGAGACTGATCAAGACTGCTTCAAGAATAACTTCGTGCTTCAGACTGTATCATTTTATTCGGATTTTTTCTGCTTTTATACAGAATTTAGCAATAAATTTTGGGAGAATCAATTAAATAAAAGACAAGCTCCATGTTGTGTTTATATTAGGCAAGATTTTTCATATATTTTTGAGCGATAAATTACAGATATAAGGATTAATTTGCGAAACTAAAAAGATTTCGTTGTAGTTCTGAATTGTTTTGACGATAAATAATTTCAAGCTCCAAACTCATACTCTTAATGTTAACAAAACTGTCACTTGATATAGTTTTCCATTAACCCTTTTTCAAGCAATAAATCAATTTGTACAAGTGAGATTATTTCGATGTAACTCTATTATGTTATGATAATAATTCACTTTATGAAAATTAACAAAATTGACAATGACATGCTCTTGCCTTTACTTATTTGGGCTGAATAATAATTTATTGATCTTTCGAGCCAATCAGATTAAAGTTACTCCCTCTTTGCTGAACTTATAAATTCTCTGCAAATTCTCATCAACGTCATTTTTGTCTCTCAATTCGGTCCTGTGATATTGACCTGCTTCGTTCTCTCAACTGACCAGTGAATTCGCTTCACAAAGGTAACGAGAGTATATATTATTAGATCATTGAGGTAACGTACCTATACTCATTCTATACATTAGTTTATGCTAATGATGCTGCACTCAATTCGAAATAAACATTCGTCCGTTCATGTAATAATATTGCCTAGTTAATTCTTTCGAATTATTTCTTGTAGACGCATGATAAAAGTTATTCATGTTCAAGACAATTATTTTTCAGTGTACTTAGTTCAAAAGAATTCAGTGCTTTACACAATTTTGTCTAAGATACCCGTTCATTACAAGGTAATGAAAATACAGAATTCAAAAAAATCAGTGGCGAACATTTTGTTGACAATAATATTCGGTAGGTTGCCCCCTACTGGATTTCATAATTCCAATTGAATTATGGCTATATCAGCCCCTCATGACACAAAATATCATCGTCAAATTTGAAGTTAATCGGTAGGAGGACATTTGAGATATTCATAAAAATCCACGTACATAAAATGAATTTCTTATTTTATCATGTAGAATCACCCCTCAATTTTTTGCGCATAATTTCCGAACACCCTGTATAATCAATCCCCAGGTGATGTTCCTCCTCCAGAAAGGGAACAAAGCGCGAACAGTCGAACCCACAGCCATGAACCTGACCTCCTCCCGAAGCCACGCCCTCCTCAGCGTCACCGTTCGTCACACCGTACCCGTGGACAAAAAAGACCATCTGCGCATGCGCGTCAAGCAGGGCCGGCTGTTCATGATCGACCTGGCGGGGTCCGAGAGGGCCAACAAAACGAAGAACAGGGGCAAGAGGTTGCAGGAGGGGGCCCACATTAATAGGAGTCTGCTGGCGTTGGGGAACTGCATAAACGCCTTGAGTGGGGGTGCCAGGTGGGTTAAGCGGCGTTCACAACCAAACTTTTCACGTTTTGCTTTTTACGTTTCGTATTCTGATTGGTGAAGCAAAATCTGAAATTAAACGTGATCTAAACCTATGCAAATGTCATTCACAACAACAAAAAATCAACGTGACTCTTTATGGCTCGGTTGCCTTGGTTTTGTCATTTGTTTTTCATCCTGAAATGAAGTAAATAATCATAACAATAATATTGATTAGATAATTATTAATATTCATACAACTGGCGGTGACGAAAATTGATCCTTATTCAATACTTGAAGAGAAGAATCAATCGTCTACAAGAAAATAATGAATTGAACAGTATACCTATCAACTATTCTGTAGATTCGAGAAAAAATTATGAGCAAAAACATTATCATAACTTCTAAATTATAGAATGTTCCATACATGTGTTGTTCTATTCAAATCAGAACTGACAATAGTATTTTTCATTTTTATTACAGTATCATTTGGCTATTTTGATTATTTTCACAGACGATGGCTTCTTGCAACGCAAAAAGCTGATTATTTTCAGCTTTTTGCGTCATTTCAATTACAGATTTTGCTTCACCAATCAGATAACGAAACGTAAAAAGCAAAACGTAGAAAGTTTGGTTGTGAACGCCGCTTTAGGCTAGAGAGAAGGAGAAACTCAAAAGGTGCGTTCTGTTGTGCCATAACTCAATCTGGTTCTTGGCATTGACCCGGGTACTGTGCCCGGGTGTACCACTCAGAAAGGACGCCGGCTGAATCTCGGAAACTTTTGGCCGCACAGGTTTCGAAAAAAAAAAAAAAAGAATTAATGATGAAAGTGGCCAAGAGAAATATCTGGAAATTATTTTCAAGTTTCCAGGACAGCCCCTAGAGGGCGTAATTACATTGGCCAATTTAATAAACGGGTTTTTATGAAAATGTGAAATATCAAGACATATTATCATATACACTTTTTTCATGTTCTCGAGTTAATTCATCATCAGTTCGATCAAAACAAATTGCGCTAGCTTTTTAAATGGAAGAGGGAGGGAAGGATGAATAGTACTTTGAAGAAACTCTCATTACTACAGTTTGGTGTAACGGAATTCAACGATCTTGGTCTCATTATGAAGAGTTTTTTGATTCTACCAGATGAATCACGAATCGAGTTGAGTTTCCATTTTTTTTTTCGAAAATTTTAAATGAAACCATATATTCATTCAACTCTGATATGAAAGTAGAGCAAACAAGAAGAAAAATGGTAAAAACCGCGAATTGAGGAACCGGTGAAATACTCGAAATAATTTTATAAAAATATTCACCACAGGAATCTAACTTCAACAATCGTAATCAGAAATATCCTGTATCTCTGAAATTATGATTTCAATAATTCATCTATTTTGGTTTCACAAACTGCTGTTATATCTCACAATAGTGAAGGAGACTCTTTGATAATGACATAGCTAATCGAAATGTAAGTAGTGAGTATAGGCTCAGGAATGAGAGGAGGCAAGTTGGATCTGAATGAAAGAAACGTCAAAATATAATTGAAGTTCCATTGAAAGTTTTCACTGTGGATTGTTTATTTGTCAAAATGCCGATAACGAATGAGGAGGCATTTGACATGCTAACAGTTTAAATTTCAATATTATTCCGAGTATTTCTAGGGTTCTTCAAGAGGTATCAACTCGCGGATTTCACCATTCTTCTCCTCGTTTACTTGAATGTTCTTGAATGGGATTACATCATCGCCTGAACGTAACACACAAGATTCAATAAGGGATGTTCTAGCAGTATCATTACAGAACATAAGAGCACATGATTCAGATGGATTGATTTTGGGTAGATGTGCCTCACAGGTACGAAGTAGGGAATTCAAATCTATATTGATCAGGTTATCAAATTGTATACTATATCTCAAGCGTTGAAAGTAAGATACACTTGGGTATCATCAGCATACATGTGGAAAGGTGAAAGTGAACAGTGTGAATAAAAGCGGACCCAATATGCTACCTTGAGGTACGCCACATGATACATCTAAGACCTGTGATACTTCATCACACAAAATCAATGTTTGATAAATAATAAATAAATAAAAAATCTTGTGTTATTAAGGTTGGTGACATTTGAGGGATGTTAAGGATTTCGTGCTATATGGTAAACAATAGTAATCCTCTCCTTATTCCCTAGGTATGTCAACTACAGAGACTCCAAACTGACCAGACTCCTCAAAGAAGCCCTCAGTGGCAACTGCAAGACCGTCATGATAGCCCACGTGGCACCCTCCGCGGCGCAGAAAGACGAGTCCCGCAACACGCTCAGCTACGCTGACAGAGCCAACAACATCAGCACCAAGATCGAGCGCAACGTGCTCGACGTGTCCTACCACGTGACGCAGTACCAGACGGTCATACACGAGCTGCGCGACGAAATATCCCGACTGCAGACTAAGATGAAGGAGGAGAGACCAAGGTCGGGAACGGGAGTTTCACCCTTATAGCGTTTTCCACTCGCCAATTTACCGAGCGCACAAGTACAATTGGCGAGTGGACTATTTTTTTCCCAAATAGAATTATCACTCGAATACATTGCAATTTCATATCTTTATGGACATTTTTCGATCGATTTTCAGGTGCTAATAAATCATGAATAATGCCACGGTAATTTTGAAACGGCTTGAAATTTACCGCCAGTGAAAACTGACGCCACGATTTCGTAAGTAGGGGCAGACCATGGCAATGGCATGAACTACGATTGGTAATCTCAGAAATATCAGTTATTCAATAATTCATGAATTCTCAATTGATTATTGATATTCTAATTAGCAATGAAAATTCAATCGTCTCAAGATGTTCCCTCATGATATGTGCTCATAATAATAAGTTTGTGTAAATAATGATTATATTAATTTAAACTTGTGGACATTTGAATCAGTGAACGTGATAACCACGGCGCATGACTTGTGGGCGTGGTCTTGTCAGTTATCAGCATTCAGCACGATGTGGCCAAGTCTCCGACATTCCCATGATATGTTCCTCCTCGTCACTATTAATTCGACGTATCGCCAAATAATGGCTGCCATGAAGGTTCGTTTGAAATGATCTCTGAAATCCAACAATTCCATCGCATTCGCGATAGAAAATAACACATCGCCCCATCTGACGGCAACAACTGGAACACTTCTGAGCGGTTTGTTTTGATGCTATGACCAATAAGCACAAACAAAAAACAAATGTGAACCAATGAAAACAAAGTAAACAGGCCGCTTTGACAGCTTTCAAGAACTCCGATAGGTGGCGTACGCTTATTTTCTATCGCCTATTCCCAGCACAGAGCAGTGGAATAGAAAGTGAGAGTTGATGCAACCTGTAGGTACTTGTCACAAATGTCAGACTTGTTCTCTTCAATCAAAAAGTCAAATTATCATTTGGATTCGCTGGTCCACATGAAATAGATCCACCCACTTCTTGTGGTTTTCAGTGGAAATACTGCCAGCAACAGGCTTATATGGATGAAGATGTTTTTCTCATTGTCAATGTTAGTATTTTTCATCATAACTGAATCAACAAGTGAATGTTTTCAATACCTGCACATCTGAATAGCTCCCTATAACTTTAAAATGTAATTTTGAATATTCCGCAAATGCTGTTTCGTAACGAAGTACTTCTGTATCTCAGTCAGAATAGAATCTATGAATTCGGAAATTATTGGAATAAACTTCAATGAGAAATTCATAATCATTCAAATTTCAAATATTTTCTAACTCGAATATTTGAGGATATCAAGCAAGTTTGAAAGCCAGTGTAAATCATTTCTCGACACTGATTGGCATGATGAAGCTACTGTTGGCTCTTGTTGTTATAATCTGAGTTTATATTGTCACGAGTGGCTCTAGCGCCCACTATCTCAACTCGAACTACTCGCTTGCAATGCAAGAGTTTTTTTTGAAAATGATAATTAAATAATTTAACTCCACTTAACAAGTTTATTCATTTTGAATAAAAACAATTAGGGCATGAAATGAATTGACCATAAATTATCCAGCAAGATACATCCAACTCAAATCGAAACAAAACAGGAAAACTAAAACTATACAGGGTGATTCAAAAGTAAGCGGCATCCCTTCAGGGGCGTATAACTTATTGCATGAAAATTAGTCAAAAAGTTCCTATTCCTAAGGGAGCTACGCCCCTTTGAATAGGACACCTCAAAGACGATTTTTTCTCTATAACTTTAAAATCCTTCACAATAAATTTTCGAAAATGATTGTACGGCATGAACATCTGATGGTAAATAAGACTCTGAATTCAAAATTTCAAAATTCCATTCAGGGGCGTCACATGCGGGGGAGGGTAAGTGTAAAAACATTCCTTCTTCTTTTGATATACAGGTTATTGTAATTTCGTTTGAAAAAGTTGATTTCCTCCTAAATGGTACGCTCTATCGAAATGAACTAGAAGTACCTTTTTTACGTGAAAAACTCTAGAATTTTATAATTTTCGAACGAAATCACAATAACCTGAATATCAAAAGAATAAGAGATGTTTTTACATTTACCCTCCCCGCATGTGACGCCCCTGAATGAAATTTTAAAATTTTGAATCCAGAGTCTTATTAACCATCGAATATTTATGACGTACACCAATTTTCGAAAATCTATTGTGAAGGAAGTTAAAGTTATAGAGAAAAAATCGTCTTTGAGATGTCCTATTCAAAGGGGCGTAGCTCCCTTAGGAAGCATATTCGGACCCTTATTAATAGGAACTTCTCGCCTTATTTTCATGCAAGGAATACGCCCCTGAAAGGATGCCGCTTCCTTTTGAATCACCTTGTATAGTAATACTCAAAAAAGGTACTTTCAGAAGGGCTCGCTTTTTGTTGAAGGATTAGAACTGCCACTCAAGAAGTTTAGACATGATACAAAATAAGTTTGAGATTTACTTCGATTAGAAGATTTGAAAAGACTTTACGGTCCACTGTCCGAACCACAACTGCCGGTTTTTTCTCTAAAACTTTTTCAATTTGGTTTTGGTAGTGGTAATTGATTCAGCATAAAAACTAGTGTATTCACCTCGATTAGAAAAAATCCAAAACCAGCAGTTTCTGCCCGTCAGCGGCTTTACTTGAATAATAATAAAATTGAAATCCGAACTATAATTTCCTTTGAATATCGTAATTCTCTACTGATATCCTGTGAGCTAAATAATTCTAAGAATATGATCTAGACTAGGTTATTGTACTGTTCTTGAATGAAATGAGAATTTCAAATATTCTCAATAAAATTATAGTTTTTATCCATTCTTGACAATATAAAGAATAAGGAATAATAATTATACTTCTTATAGAGATAATTATCGATTCATACGAAGTATTTTTCAATGAAAAATCTCATCGTATTATTGATTGAAATAAATATTTGATTTATTGTGAATATGTACGTAGCGAATTTTGTACCTATAGTTCCTATCTATAATATAATTTTGTTACAGATGAAGAATTTCTCATTCAATATTATATTAGTAATACTACTGAAAGACTAAAACAATAAACAAAATCAGTTGATAATCTGACATCTGTCAAGCTTCACAAGTAAACCGTGACGTCATATTAAAGTTACCATAAAGTTAACCTGATTTGTCTGGTTAAAATGACTGTTATTTACATGAAAGAAAACGTGAGACGTGTAGCAAACATTCGTTCAGGTCCCTAACGACACAGTGGAGCAATTGAATGTCAATATCGCTCCACTCGTCCATTGACAGCGGGACTTTCGTAGGTCTGGGAACGTGACGAAGCTGAGCTCAGAGCAGCGCAGCGGCGAAGTGAGAAGTCTGCGCGAACAGATCGTGGAGACGTTCAAGACGCAGATGAAGCTGAGGCGGAAGCTGATGGAGATCGATTCGCATCTGCTGGGCCTGGGCATGGAGGCGGAGAGGCAGCACGTCGTCATATCGCATTGGGAGTCGAGGAATAACAAGCTGTATAAGAACAGCGTCAACGAGTCTAGAGCGAGGACCCAACAAAGCATAAGGTACCTTAGTAACTTTTCCAGAGGTAGCTCAGGTCACTACTTCTTTCTCTTCATGATAGACTGGACAATGATAGACTGGTTCAATCATAAAAGTCACTATAACTATTAATTTCACAAAAGTAAGAGCTGTAAAGATTTCCACAAAATTCTCAAACATACAACATGTTTCGCTAACACAGTATATATATTCCATTCCTGTCGAATGTTGCACGATGGACATATTTTTATTTGCATTTGATGATGTGTCTGTTCGTCGATAGTACCCATATTTGTGTTTTTATATTTAATTATTATGACTTTGTCTACGAGATACTCATCTTTCGACAATAAAGTATATTTTGATTTGATTTGATTCGATTTGACCCTGTATTTAAAGTTCCTGAATAGGTACCCGAGGTACCTTAGCCCAATGCTCATCAATCTGTAACTTATCTTGGATGGTACCGTCTCCTCTCTTCAGTTTTCAATCTTCCCTATCGGTCTTTCTTGGCCAATTCTCATTTTTCGCTTTTTTCCCAAAGCCATCTGAAGCATAACCTAACTTTGAGGCATTGTGGACAAGCCGCGGCTGCTCGGCAGATGGGGCATTTTATTCGGATCATTCATATGGGATAGTTTTGTGTACATATGTGTACAAAGATGGGGCAATTTGTGAATATCTGCACATGTGGCCACGGATTAATGAAAAAGGCTCTGGCAACCTAATCCAAGTTGTGGGCAAGGATGAAAAATGATTGGCACTGAGGTTATATGGTTATACCGAGACCTCTGGGAAACAGGGTGACATCTCAGAGTGGAATGCCTTGTGCAGAGGCCAGGGCTAGACCAAACCCTTCCCCAAATACTCGTAGTAGAAGGAAAACTCTTGCCTTCTTCATATACGAGATCAGGACTCAGAAGAGTAGTTTTCAGGAGCCTGAAGGAGAAGGGTCTTTCAAGTGATGATATTCGAAGTGGATCTCGCATACTACCATGAAGAAAATGTCCTTCGTGGTATCCATAAAGAATTTCAACCATCAAAGGATGTATTTCTTGATCATAATCAGCACATTTGCTTAGTATTGGTGTTGATATAAGGTGTAGGAGGATGCTTCATCAAGAGCCCCTTAGTCACAGTAGTCTCTCAAGCCTGGAGTCTTTCGGGAATGTTAGGCTTCAAGGAGCACCTAGGAATTGGTGGCATTTCTTCCACAGCCACATAGTACAATCTCAGAGTTTTCGAACTTCCGTGATGTATACCATTGCATTTCTCCAGGATATAGCTGCTCTCCTCCTCAGAATCTAGATCACTTATGCGTACTTTGAGTCTTTCACTCTTATTGACTTGAGACTTCCCAGCAAACATCAAATCTCTGGCCGCCTTCTGGCCCGGTACATGATAGATTGGCAATTTGCCTATGATTGTGCCGGTACTGGGCCAATAGTGTCAATTCATATTAGGTTTTTGCCTACGTCATACAATCGTCTACCCATTATATGGCATATTGAAATCGCTCAACTATAATCTAGCCGGCATTGTACCAAGCAGAGTAAGTATAGAAACAAAGCCTACTGAACACTTATGTGCTGAAGGACCTCTTCGTAAGGTTGATGGCCAGTTTGTATGTTCATATAGTGATGTGTGTGCTAAGGTGTTTGCTGTTTCAAGGGACCCAGGCCCTCTACTCTAGTTGAGGTCTATGGTATCAGGACTTAGAGCCTCTTTTGGCTTGCGGTCTCTATACTGTGACATGTATAAAGTGGCTATAAATTGACCAATGATGTCATCTTTTCTGTAGCTCTCGGTTTCTCTGAAATGAGATACAGGAACACACACACTGAAAACTTCTGATTCCAGAAGGAGGAAAATCCACACTGCAGACGGCTTCAGATCTGCTGGCAACGAGCAGGACGAAGTTCCTTCAGAAGATGGAGGTGTAGAGGGCGAGACAGCAGTTCAGCAGGCTTGGGCGGAGATTGCGGACATAGAACGGGAGCAGGAAAGATGGTCTGAACTGCGAACACGTATCGAACATAAATTGGAGGATTGCAGACAACGAGGGGTGGCTTTGGAAGACGTGAGTACAATCACCACAATTATCATCATGAGAAATACCAACCAGATTTGTACAGGGTGATTGTTTATATTTCACTCGAAAGCTATCTTAGTTAATATAGGCTTGTTCCCTCAGGACTTGGGTCGGCCAGGCTAGATGTGCTAGTTCGACAACGAATTTTTTTTTTATTGAATGATAATAAATGGCTTACTAGATCATACTAGGTACCTCTCTTACGTTCGCACGACTATTTCAATTTTTTCTGCTTAAGATGACCCCTGAATAAACTATGTTCAAGAGCTTCAACAGACGACACACACTGAAGCCTCGGGATATAATCTTGGTCCCTGGGTAATAATGATATTCTTTTCTACCTTGGTGTATGAATAACTATTTCCTACATGAATTAAATTGTCTATGTCATAATGACTTTAAAATAATAGATAGCGCTGCTATCTATTATTTCAAAGATCATGGAGAAAGCTATCAACATCGAGCTCATGAAATGGTATTATCAACGATAGGCAATATGGCTTCCGTCATCAGAGATCAACTGGTGACCTGCTCGCTTACGTCTCACATATATGGCAGCAATCTATTGAACAATATGGTGATACCTTAGCCGTGGCACTAGATATCTCCAAGGCATTCGATTTAGTCTGGCACCACGGACTCCTCGCCAAGCTTCCATTTTATGGCTTGCCTCCCCAGCTATGATCTCTGCTAGCTAATTTTCTCTCAAACAGATCTCACCATGTAGTGGTCAACAGAGTTTCATCTGACACTCTTATCATAAATGCTGGTTTTCCGCAAGGATCAACTCCAACGATTTGTTGGAAGCAACTTCATGTCCAGTAAACAGCTTCGCGGATGATAGTACCCTCCATGCTGCTTTCTCTTCCAGGGCTCCAATACCAGCCAGGCAAATCAGAAACGAACGAGGGGATAATGTTGACAATATAAATATGGACTTGGCAACAATTTTTGAATAAGGATCCAATAACTTGGTAGATTTCAATGGAAACAAAACACAACCATGCCTTCTCTCTAGAAAAGCCGATCTCACTGTTGCCAACATAAGCTTGTCAGGAATAACTATGCCTTTGGAGACATCCATTTCGATGCTTGGTATTACTATCAGCAATAACCTTTCTTGGGAAAATCACGTGACATCAATTGCTAATGGTGCAGCCCAAAAACTTGGTTATCTGTTTTGGAACAGGAGCTATTTCACTTTTACGATCTATAAGGCAAAGATCCGACCTGTCCTGGAATATTGTTCCCATATTTGGAGTGCAGCACCCAAACATACTCTGAAACTGTTGGATTCTGTCCAAAAAAGGGCGATTCGTCTCGTGGGTGATGCTTTGCTCACAAACTCACTCACTTCTCTGGAACACCGTAGAAAAGTTGTCGATCTGGCTCTATTTCATAGATATTTTCATGGATGATGCTCTGCTGAAATATCAACAATTGTTCCTCCCTTGGCAGTCCTCGCGAGATCAACTCATCCAACGAACAGTGAGTCTCTGGAACACATTGCCAAGGGAGGTGTTCCCCGAGGCATATAACCTCCAGAGTTCCAAGAAGAACACCAATTTCTACCCTATTTCCTTCGGTTCTCATGATGTTCTCTGAACATTACAGGATACCCCTTTTCGTGGTAACCAGAACATAAAAAAATAAATTACAGTGGCTTATGGGATTTTTATTCATGAATTAAATTGTCTCTGTGATTGACTACCTATTGATTTCTCTGTTTGTTTTCTAGCAACTTCCCTCGCTTCTGTCTTCAGATGACGAGAGAGAAATTCTGGCCTTGATGTGTCGCGTCCACGAATTGGAAGCCGATAAGATGGCTTTACAATCTGAAAGATTGGTCAGACAACACGAGCTGAGGCGAAGAGATTTGCTGATATTGAGGTACGACAGACAGCGGCAGCTTTGCGAAGAGATCATTACGCGACAACGACAAATGATGGAAGGTAAGAATATGGTTTCGAGCTGGTGATGAAACATTTTTTTCCACCACTAACCTGAGAAATCACCATCATTCGAGGATTTCCTCTAATGAGAAGTAAGTCTTTGTTAACTTAGGTAAATAATCACTGAGCTAGTTTTTTAACAGATGTTCAGCAGGAACTTGATGTGACAGATGGCACATAATATATGTGCTTCGATAAAGAATTCTCCTTCTTTTCCAAGCATACTGTGACAATATTCATTATACAGGGTGTATCTGAATAACACAGGGGACATAGGGATGATTTCTCGTGATATTTGAGGTAATAAAGTTCATATAAACATGTGTCCTAACTTGCTTCGTTTTCGAGATACAGGGTATTAAATTAATACTATAAATTTTAATATTTTGGGGCTTTTTCAGTCTCTATACTGAATTTTGGCACCATGAAAGCTTATAGAGGAGTGTTATAAATAAGAACAATTTATACTTATTCCATACTTCAACATCCTGTATCAAAGACGGAGCAAGTTAGGACACATTTTTTTTTTTTATCGATTGGAGCGCACGAAAGGGAATCCCTATAATGTTCAAAGAACATCGTGCGTTCCTAGGGAGGATAGGGACAGGAGGTAGGTATTGGAATTTCACAGGAAATCACCCTTAGAATTTTTTCGGCGTCATTTAGATACACCCTGTATAGTTGTGATGGTTATTTTTCAGATCTCAAAATCAAGTTACCTCAAGATCTTGAAGAATTGTACCAGATGTACCAACAAGAAATTCATGCCTCGACTTATACGGATTTCAGTTTACCACAAAGTTCTTTATCATCGGATAAGTTACCTCCAATCAGCAACATGTAAGTCTAGTTACATTATAATACTTATTTACAACAACCTTTCCTGGCTACTTTGGCAAATACTGAATTTTTGCCTTCATCCAACTGTAAGGTATTCATAAGGTTATTTCAAAATAAGTACATACAGTGTATTCTACTTCAAGGTAAGAACTCTTGTTGTTTTTGGAATAGAATGTAAGATTCAAATATTTCTTGTTATTAGATGTAGGCTCTACTCAAAAAGACCTATGAAATGGTTTAAGAATTGATTTTCATATACCATTTAATTAGCTCCTGTAATTTGTTATTGTTTATTGTTTATTGAGAAACTAGCTTCCAGTCTGAAGTAACATTCTGGTATGAGGAAGTTCATAACAAACAACAATTATAAAATAACATAAGGTGACAACAACAACAACAACAATAACAACAACAACAACAATTACAACAACAACAACAACAAATCTGAAGAATCTAAAAATGCTAAATCGATCAAGTCGTAAGAATAGCCACAGGGACTAATCAGTGGCAAAGTATCAATTTTATCCATTTCGTAATAAAATCATGTATTTTATTAATTCAATTTTGAATTTCGAAATATGTCTGCAATTTTTAATATTATGTATTGAGTCATTGAATTCAGCTAGAGCAGCGTGAGTAATTTTTTTTGGCCAATTATAGAAGTAGCAGAATCAGGATGAAATAAGTTCAATTGTCTCGTGTGATGACCATGAATTTCTGAGTTTCTTATCAGAACAAGATTGGAATTCAGATTATTGTTTATGACATTATATGAAACTTTAAGAGAATATATTCATTTTCATATAATTCATCCAATGAGTATTTTTCTGTTGTCGCATACAGATCATTTAATTTGTTGGGATATCAAATGAGAGGCGATACAATACTTTCAGCTCGACTTTCAGTGATTTCTTACGAAGTGCAGATATTTTACTGAAATAATTTTTTGAACAAGATCCCCAAACGTTTATCATAAAGGTTATACGACTGGTATATGAGAATGAAGTACTATGTTTATGACCTTTTTGTCGAGTTTACGACATCTTCGCAAAGCCCCAATGATTGAAGATATTTTTGGTGTTAGAACCTATCTATGCTTGTCCCATTTCAATTTATCATCAATCCACATACCAAGATTTGTGTAGTTCTTTTCAATACTTTATTTTTAATTTGGAGATCGAGACTAATATTTAGTTTATTTTTCTGATGGAATATTATATATTCAGTCTTATTGGTATTAATTGATCTAATTTTTGAATGAATCCATATTTCAAATTTTTTCAAATCTTCGTTGATAATATTTTCTAGAATGATAGGGTTTTTGTTTTCGCATAAAAGTACAGTATTTATTTTTATTTATTCATTTCAGTTATTGCATTACATTCTCTTCTTCATTGATACATTTCATACAAATAATATATAAAGTATAATTACCTGACAATCCAATTTTAGAAATATTCTGAATATATATAATAAAAACAAGATGGGCCCTAAAACAGATCCCTGTGGAACACCTTCACTTATTGGAAGTATATTAGATTACATTTAGTGCTGATTGTCCTATTCACAAGATAATATTGTAAAAAAAATGCCTTCCATCGATTCCAAGTATTCTAAGAGATTCTCATGATAATCAAAATTTCATCACAAAAATCATAAAAAATCATGTACACCGCTGTAGTTGATAGTATCTTGAGCCGTCTTGAGGTGCGTGAATTATATTCATTCATCCTAATTTCACCCTTCTAAAAAACATGATTTATACAATATTATAGAAATAGCTGAAATATTCAGAATTCCCCAATCGGCAGTAGGATTTACTGTTTCGGTCCAACAAGTCTTATCAGTCACACTCGGTCTGCTGACATTTGTGATTACGTCAGTTTTTTTCTTCGCTTTGAGAAGAATTTTCATTGGAAAAAGCATGAAAAAAACCATTCAGTCAGAAGTTTCTCTCAGTTCATACACATTTCAGGTTCAATGAGACGATTTTTAGAAGACACCCTACTCTAGATAGGAGCGGCAGCGACGCCAGCGTTCAATCACCACCCTTGTCGACGCCTTCTAGTGATGAGGATGGTCCGAATGCTGCCGATTCCACTATCGATAAAGTCTTGGGACACCCCGTATACAGACCTGGATTGGCCACTAGACTTCCACCTTTACCACCGAGTCCGCCTATACGCTTGAAAACCAGTGGATCCGGGTAAATTTGCAGGGTGGTTTTTGCAATGAACTCAATATAAACACCCGGAAGGGACTCTCTGTGAACGACGAATGAGGCGAAAATATCGTTCAGGAAACTCTATCTTATGTTGGCTAATGGGAAGCGATCGCATTATTCGAAAATTCGAAATATTATCCCGTTTTTTGCTTTTATTTAAGAAAAGTGATCAAATATAAATATTCATTTAGGAACAAGGATAATATATGTTGCAATCAATTATCATTAAACAATTATTGATTTTTTCATTGACTTAAAAATTGAATTTCATTTTTATTCTTACAGGATCAGGACGTGAAATGAATACAACATTGAAATTATATATTTTTATTCATGTCCCAATATATGGTACAGGGTGAGCGAAGCACAATGTCTCAGCACTATCAGAAGGAAAAGAAAAACGATAGGACAAATTTTAAAAGAGGTTCTTGAATGGTATTGAGTTCCTAAGGTCCATTTTGAGCATAATTTCCATAGGTTCCTATTTTTTCATCAGGTCAGTGCCTACAATAAACATATCCCTATTAGAAATTGAGATAATACAATTCTCAATACAATATCCTCCTCGAATGGAACAGTTTGGGTTTCTTCATTGATGAACTTCGGAACATGGGAGCTGGAAGTCGTAGGCAAATCAAAGTCCATAATATGAGGAACATCTCACTTAGGACCCAAGTTATGAACTTCCGCAGACACACCCTAAAAATAAATTACTAGCTACTTTTTCAGGTGCAAACATACTTTTTTCATTATTAATCAACTAGGTACCTATGAGTTTTCTCATTTTCCTGTGAGGATCAGCATTTTTTGGTAACAATAATGCTTAGGAATTGAAGATAGACTAGGTATAGCATCTGGTTTCAATAACCTAGCAGTACCTGGTATGTCTAAATAAATAATCAGATGACAATAGATTATGTCGAAAATTTGTGGGCATAGATGATCAAACATGCTCTATCCGAAGAATATTTCCATCAATACAGTATTGCTACTTCTATCAAAAAGTAGTAGCTATACTTTGCTATTTCACGGAACACGCGGTATAATATTGATTGTCTTTATTACCCCAAGAAACATAGTTGTTCATAATAGGGATACATAAACAATATACATAATGTTATACATACAATTATGAAATTATAATAAGATATAACAAGTAAAAAAAATGCAAATAATCATGCAATATCAACCTTGTCTTTCATAAGTAGGTATTCAAATAAGAAATGGAATTATCAAAGTCTCTGAAGCAGATTTTTTTTAAGTTAATTTTGAATCTAGTTGCTTCCTGTAAATTCCTCAATTGACTTGGTAATGAGTTGTATAGAACGATTCCTGTGTGAAAAATAGATTGTTTGTCGATATTTGACTCAAACGTATTTGCTATTAGTAAATTTGATTGTCTTGTTCCATGATTATGTAATGAATTGATTTCATTGAAATTTGAATTCGAAATTTTCAATTTATATAGGACAAATTGAATAAAACAATATTTTGAGTTTATATAGTATGATGTCAGATCTAATAAATCTCTAGGTTTGTATAAATTCATGGTTGGTTCGAGAAAATTTAAATTGAAGATACACTTCAATGTTTTATTTTGTAATTTCATTAGTGGACTCAAACGTGAAATATTGGTACTTCCCCATATAGGTATTGAGTATTGAAATTTTGAGTAAATAAGAGAGAAATAAATACTCTTCAAGTATCTAGTAGGAATGAAATTTCGTATTTTGAATAAAATGCCTGTAATGGGATTAAGTTTGTTTCTCAAATGATCTATATGTTTATTCCACAATAGTGATTTCTGGAATTGTCATAGAATTCTATAGAGAATTCTTCGTAACTTTTCCTGATGATTTTTCACATATCTGTGACAGCTATCGCGATAACAATTATTTTGTTATTTTTTTGTGCACAATCACTGACTTGAAAAAAAAAAACGATTTTTCCACATTGCAAATTCACAATGAAGTATTTTGCCCCGGGGATTTGCTGGATTCAGGTTTCATTCTACAGGGAGGCTCCAAAGTAACTTCATTCCGGGGACTCATGAAAATTACAGATACTCAGTTTCTTCAAATGGAACAACCCGTATATTATTACTTATAGAGTCAGCAATCTTGTTTTATGTCTTTTGCTTTTTGGATAACTAATTTCTTCTATTTTCTTTTAGATCGATGAAGCGTGCCACCAGTGAAAATTATATAAATAGGTCAGAAACACGACTATGAAATAAATTGTATCATCGCTAAAGTGCTTTTTTATTTGATGTGACACATCGCGTGTGTGATTGATTACCTAATAAAAGTTTTATATCATTCAAAGTGAAGTTTTTAGTCCTGATGTAGTATAAAGGGATCTAACAGCCTGTGGATGAATTATGGATTTTTGCAAACAAACGAATTCTTGTGAGATGATTCAAATCATATGATCCCCTCCAAATTTAGTTGTATCAAACATAAATTACAAAATTTCAAATTCAATTATGAATCGTTAAAGGTTTCAATTGTAGAGCACTTCAAATATGCACGTCTCATCAACTGAATGACTATCGTTTTGTGAAAAATAAATCATACAGGAACTCATTACTCATTTGCAAACAATGGCAACTGTGTAAGCGCTCATTGAAGTTCGATCGTTGAGACATACCATTTTAAGTGAGTGGAGGGGAGCAGTATGGTTTCAGTCTTATGTTGCGTTTCTCCAGATCGAATTAGTCTTCGGTCGAGAACGTATATATAGGGTCTAGCGAGGTAGTATGGTGTTCATGTTTACGTCAGACAGTCATACATGACTAGTAATATTATCATATGGGAAGTCATAAGGAAACTTCAGAATGAATCAATCAGTTATATTATTCATAAATTACAGAATTAGAGGAATATTATGAATCGTTACACGTTCCAATTGTTGAGCAATTCAAATATGCAGCTACGTCTCATCAAAAACAAGACTCTATCGTTTTGTGAAAATTGTATCATATTCAGAAAATCATTTGGCAACAATGGCAACTGTGTAATCGCGTCGAATCGTCAAGACCTGCCGTTTCATTTGGTGGAGGGGAGCAGTATGGTTTCAGTCTAGTCTTACGATTCTCCAGAACGTATTAGACATCAGTCCAGAACGTATATATGGTCTGCTAAGGTATGGTATGGTGTTTATTAAAAGCTTACACGTCACACGATTTTTTGCCAATGAATGTATGGTTTTTATTCAATCCTACCTAGAATTGATAAGAAAACTTGAGGAAGAGCTATTTAGTGTTTTCGTTTTTGTCGAGACATTTTTGAAGACAGGTGGCGATTTGAATTTGTAAGTAGCATGTCCCTGATCCTGAGATTCATTCAAGTAATAACAGAGAACCTGCATTTGATAGAAAAAAAAAACAATGCATTCAGAACTTATCTAAAACAGCTGTACTCAGTGTTTATGTAAGAGGGGGCATGTTGGAAAAGGAAAATAAAACTACAAAAAGACTAGAAACTGGTATTGTTGTATAAAAAAAGGTATAGGACAACAACAATGTAGGCTTATAAAAATATACAAGTAATAAAATATCAGTCACGTGTATCTAAAAATATTAGTAGCTACAGAATTATACTAATCTCAAATAGTTCTACAAAATACATTGGTTGATAAATAAATGAAATCACTGGAAGACTCACTTCTCTCCTAGTATTATAGAAATATATTGAATGATAAATAGGAAGGTACTAGATCACAATGCGTTTGCTTCCTGTCGGAAAAATAGGAATCATCTAGAAAAATTGTAACTAGTTATCTCAGCATCTGGATCTCAGATAGCATACAGGAATGACCAGTAGAACAAGTTGAAAACCAAGAAAGATACGGGAAAAACCACCCTGGATTTCTTGTCGATCCACATTGCCACCTCCTGAGGGGTCATCGTGGTCCAAGTCGGGGTAGGGGGTGAACTATCATGCCGTCCGTCAGGAATGGGTATCGTGGTCACACTGTCAAAATCGTTCTCGATGAGTTCGTCCTGGCTCTGCGCCGTTATTTTTGGAACAGTGAGGGTACTGAAGCTCTGAAAAAAGTACGGATTGAATTGGATATAAACTACTCAACACTAATTTCGTCGCACACCAAAATGTCGCCCCTGTTATAATGTGAATAACTTTTTTCAGTTTAGTAGAATTTGAATTTATTTCACACTGTTCGATAGCCCAGTCCTGCAGCTATTATCTCGTACCTCATTGAAACATAAGGGTATTCACATAAAATATCTACATGGTGTTTTCCGACACTGTGCAAAATTTCGGAATATTCAGAAGGCTCTCAAATGATAAAAACATTTTTTTCCTCAACTTCGACAACAGAGGCATGAAGATGATCTCATTACCTCGAGATATTTCGCGATTTAACTTCATATCTCTCTTATTTACAGAGTGATCTCAAAAAATCAACTTTTTGGTTTTGCAGCCATAACTTTTTTTCACTCCAACCGATTTTGGAAATCTCAGGCTCATTTTGAAGATAAAACTTCAGATGAAGATATATGAATATCAGAATTGACTCAAGATGGCTATCAAAGATCTAGAGTTTTCTTGAAAGTGACACAAATCTGGAACGCCCTTCGAATCTTGGTTGGGAATGAAAATCAACTTGTTCTCGGAAAAACAATTCATTCTGAATGCATCCATATTTTCCTCGCCCTCAGTAGTCAAGAATTGTGCGTGAGAAAACACAATTGAAACATGTTCTTGCAAAAACATTGGATCATTTCTCCTCTGTAATGCATGGCCCGCCGTAACCAACGTTACAAGAATCACAATGAGTGACTGACAAACCCGACCAGCTGAGGCTCATCATAAATGGTGTACCAACAAGAGCAACGGATTTTGATTTTTTCAATAAAGTGATTTTTTTAACAGTTGTCATACGTACATAACATGCGATTTAAGAATATGGAGAAGTATTCAAGCAAACAACGTTTATTTATTGTAAAAACGCATTTCAAAAATGGTGGAAGTTTCACGAGAACAGTTTGCCAATTACGTAAAGTTTTCAGTCGCAATAATGCGCCGAACGAATCGACAGTAATAACCAAACAATTCGTGTCGGAGATAAGCCCTTTGAATGGATCGGACTGTCGTGTTTAGCAGATCCCAGATTTGGAGGAAAGATAACACTTGTTCCCTCATTTTCGGAATCAGTTCCAACTGGTCGGGCGTTAGATGCGGCATCGAAACTATCAAAATCTGTTTATGATTCGAAAACGACGTCTAACCTGACTTCTCAGTCACTTACTGTGATTCTTGTAACGTTGGTTACGGGCCATGCATTACAGAGGAGAAATGGTCTGATGTTTTTGCAAGAACATGTTTCAATTGTGTTTTCTCACGCACATTCTTGAGTACTGAGAACGAGGAAAATATGGACGCATCCAGAATGAATTGTTTTTCCGAGAACAAGTTGTTTTTTAATCTTTGATAGTCTTGAGTCAATTCTAATATTCAGATCTCTTCATCTGAAGTTTTATCTTCAAAATGAGCCTAAGATTTCCAAAATCGGTTGACGTGGAAAAAAGTTATGGCTGCAAAACCAAAAAGTTGATTTTTTGAGATCACTCTGTAAATAAGAGAGATAGGAAGTTGATTCGCGAAATATCTCGAGGTAATGAGGTCATCTTCATGCCTCTGTTCTCTGTTGTCGAAGTTGAGAAAAACATTTTTTTCACCATTTGAGAGCCTTTTGAATATTCCGAAATTTTGCACAGTGTCGGAAAACACCATGTAGAGATTTTATGTGAATACCCTTATGTTTCAATGAAGTACCAGATTATAGTTGAAGGACTGGGCTATCGAACAGTGTGAACTGAATTCAAATTGTTTTAAACTGAAAAAAGTTATTCACATTATAACAGGGGCGACATTTTGGTGCGCGACGAAATTAGTGTTGAGTAGTTTATTATTAGTTATGAGAAAATACAGTCTTTTTCCTACAAGCGTGCGTTATTCACCCTATACCCGCACGCAATTTATTTTGGGAAGTTTCATTTTCCCGCAGTAGTGCGGGAAAAACATTTATAAATTATCGGGAAATATGAGTGGTGGGTGACACAATATATGGACGTTCAAGGTTTTTTTGTTGCAGTATACAGTAAGTTTGTACGAAATTCGAAATCATCCATCAAATTGCACTATTTATTGTGAAAAAGAAGGAATATTGAAAGATAATAATTGTTTGTTATACTAGGTGGGCCAAAAGAAATCACCCTATTGGAAGATGCTCTTATTTTTGCAAATGGCGGCCAATGTCAGATCTGTTTCGACATTTGTGAACTAGACAGATGTAGAATACAACTGATCAAGCCATGCAGCGATACACTCCCCAAGAAAGCGGAATAATCTGAGCCAAGCCATCCTCAATCTCGTGGACGATTTTTCGACCAAAATCATAATGAGCGACAAGGCTCATTTCCACCTCAGCGGGTACGTGACCAAGCAGAACTATCGCTTCTGGGGCACTGAAAATCCACGAGTGATACACGAGGAGCCATTACACCCGCTCAAAGTGACTGCATGGTGCGCTGTTTACTCTGGAGGAGTCATCGGGCCAATTTTTTCGAGGTCGCCGCTGGTCAAACGACAACAGTGGACGGTGCACGCTATAGGGCCATGTTTACCGAGTTTTTTCTGCCGCAATTGAACGAATTAGGACTGGAGGACATGTGGTTCCAACAGGACGAAGCAACGGCACACGCTGCTCGATCCACAACCGATATTCTGAAGGCGGCGTTCCCAGATCGCCTCATCTCTCGTTTTGGCGATTTGCTCTGGCCCGCAAGGTCGCCCGATTTAACTCTTTCAGACTTTTTTTGTGGGGTTTTTTGAAAGTCTTGTGTTTACGTCAACAAGCCTGAGACCCTGGAAGCCCTTGAGGACAACATTCGACACGATTGCCGGAATCTGTCGCCCGAAGATCTCGCCGAAGTGATGAAAAATGCCATTAAACGAGCCCGTATAAGTATCAATTGTGGCGGCGCCCATTTGGCCGATATAGTCTTCTCGACTTGACCAATAAAATTCTAAAGGTTCAAATAAACATAATCAAAAAACAGAATCGAAGCTTTTCATTTAGAAAAAAAAATGAGAGCCAAACATCGGATGACTTCTTTTGGCCCACCTTGTATAAATCCCCCTATATCCTTCCATTAATCTGACATTGTCGATCTAAATGAAAACCTAGTAGGCGACCTAGTGCGAGGAGGTATGTATAAGCTCCTGCCTACTAACTACCTAACTAGGTTGTCATCTAGAACGACAATGGATCTGATGTGGGAAACCATTGTCTGCTAAATATATAGAAAAAATCTAGTGTGCTGGAACTACCTAGATTTTTTCTCCATATTTAGCACATAATGTGGAAAACAATTGTTGTCACGTCAATCAAAACACAAATTAGTTAGTGTAATACTCAGAGTGACAGACAGAGCGTTACTGTCATTTTCGATCCAGTGGAATTGCGATGAAAAACTTCCAGCTACAGATGCGATATAGATGAGTTATTGCCAACGAAGTCTTTAGAAAGGTATGAGGAGCACTACACGGGCTTCATTGAATGGTGCAATAGTGAAAAAGTGGAAACACCAAATGGAGAAGAAGTATTTTTGGCTCATTTCCTAGAAATGTCTGAAACCTAGAGGCCAAACACCATTGGCATGCTGGCTTCCGCAACAATCTTACCTACATAATGCTTCAAACGGTACACAATAGATATATCACTAATTATTAGAAGATAGAGAATATACCTATCACTATTTTTAGTTCTTCCTATCTGCAGGAATAATTGATTCAACAAATCAATCAATCCATCTAATAACTTTATAGAAGATAAATGTAATATTCAATGGAAAGCTACTTACATGAACTGTCAAATAGTTGGATTGTATATTATTAGCAACGTGTTTGTCGAGGCTAGAACAAGACCTAGTTTTGTACAGGGTGTTCATAGATTCTGCCTTCCTAAGCTGCTTTCTGGCTAGACTTGGAGTCAGTGCACCCTTCAAAATGTGCTTACTGTTTTGTTTCTTCAGTTCAACTTTTTTCCTGCAAAATATTTTCATCATACAGTCTACCTTCCCTAGTTGATTTTTGTGAGATTGGGATTTTTAAATATTATTTCCTTCTCTTCTTGCTCTAATTGTAATTAAAATGGTACATTTTTATCTGGATAAAAATGTAGCACATTGAACTACTATTGAATCGAAAAAGAAAATTCTCATTTGCTTGAAAGTCAACTAGAGGGATTCCTTCATGGACATAGTGATTTAAAATTTGATGAAGTGTTACAAAAATATAAATTAATTCCTTCAGTAGTACTGTTATTTCAGATCAGATGTAAATCTGGTTAGATATGGTACTCAACTGTAAGTGGGTTGAACATATTATTTTCCAACAAAATGTGCATCTTATTCGAATTCAATTCCGTTGAAACAGCTGTACTAAGACACGCAGTACATACATGGTGTTACAAAATTCAGTATCAAGATCGCAGGAACTTATTCTTCAGGTTGAAATTAGATATTTTTTCTATAACTATGTGTCCGCGAACGATTCGTTAGCGATCTACAGAGCGTAAAAATTACATGATTTTTTCAGCACCCTTTATAAAAAGTTAAGGTTAGGTTTCTTATAATTCTGGTATTGTTTGGAAATTTGTAATCAAGTTGTTCAAATTGTAATAATATATTATAGTTTCCTTCCTTTTGTTAAAAAAATTCAATAAAATCAAGCGAATTATAAAAAAATCTTTTTTTTTCGATAATGGTCGCAGATGATGCATATGAATTACAAGAAACAAATAACTCATATCGTAGTTCGAAATCATCCAGTGGCGCACCACAAATGAGCGAGAAAGGGTCTGACCCCTGAGAACAAAAATATTCAAATTTCAACGCTCAGTGAATCAGTAATAAAGCGTTTGCGGACACAACATGTTTATGGGACAAATTTTCTTATTTTGATTCGTAAAACAAGTTTCTGTAATGTTGATACTGCATTTTGGAACACCTTGTATAACCGGGTGAGTATTGGGCCACCCCTGTAACTTCAGCATTCGTACAAGAACTAAACTTTCCATGCCCAATACGTTTCACTTAGGAGTGTACAATACAGGGTGGGATTCAATAAAATTTTGCCCAAAACTTTTTTGTATCCATCATTTTCAACAATTTAATCTCGTATTATGAAAATCCACACCGTTTCACAAAAAAAGGTGCGCTCTTGTTCCGCATCGATTTTCGAATGAAATCGATTTAAAAATATTGATTCACTCACATCTTATGCATAACGTTGCCAGATTTCAAATCACAGTGGCTATAAAGAAATCAACTACTTTCTTTTCACCAAACAATCTCATAAGAGCGCGAAAAATTGAGAAATGATGATAAAAAACACTAATTCAATTTTTGTGTATTCTTTTCCATTTCCACTACGACTCATTGCAATGTTATGCATAATATCTGAGATGTGACAATATTTTTGGATCGCTTTTACTCGTTATCTGATCGTTACGGAAAAAGAGTACCTTTTTTCTGTAAAGAGATGTGGATATTCATAATCCTAGATTAAATTGTCGAAATATATGCATACAACAAATTTCGGGACACCCTGAATATAGGAAGAGAGTTTACCTTCTTCTCCATATGACATTCACGAAAGCAAACTCAGCTAAGCTGAAGAATATAAAGCTGGCGCAAGTCAGGAACCAAATTTCGCTAGCTTTTATATAGGACACTTTGGGAAGATTTTTCGTTAATCCTCCGTTCAGCGTAATGAATGAAAGCATTGTTGCAGTACCTGAAATCATGAAAAAAAAAACCATCAAACAGTTTTTGAGAAGGGAGACATACGACATACATCGATTTCCCCTTGTAAATTCCTTAATTCTTAATCGATCTAGATAACAATTTATTTTATTTGGGAAGTATTATTTTCATCTGTGACGGGTAAGAAGTTTGGCATTTCATCTCTGTTGACAGGTTATAAAATGTCACTTTCCATGAATTACTTTTTCCCCAAGGCAAAAAAGTGACTACTTTTCTACCGGATATATATCACATGTATACATATATAACAAGGGAAAGCTTTCGTGACTGTTCTATAATAATATTCTTGGAAATATTAGTGGGATGCAGTCTGGACCAATGAATTAATTAAATTTCTTCGTTATTTGTCGAGCTTTCGAAAATTTTTATTTTCTTTATAAAGACTAACTGAAAACATCGAATGGAACAATAATATTAAAATATGAATGTACATTCATGTTATTCATGTTTTATATATAATCTACAAACATTTTTAATATATCAGTATTTTTATATATATCGGTATTCATCTCACTCTGTATTCAACATCTTCAAATGAGTCAACCATCATCTATGACATTTTTTTGTCAAATCATTTCATTTTATTTATACACCTATGTTTCCTTTTTGTGCTAACTTTATATAGAATTTCATGTTTGTAAGTATACCAATCTCAATTGATGTACATTTATATTTTAATATTATTGTTCCATTCGATGTTTTCAGTTAGTCTTTATAAAGAAAATACAAATTTTCGAAAGCTCGACAAATAACGAAGAAATTTAATTAATTCATTGGTCCAGACTGCATCCCACTAATATTTCCAAGAATATGTGTATACATATATACACTGTTGATTAGTATAATATTGAAAAAATGTTTTTCTTCTAACAAAAAAAAATTCTTAGTGTTTTTATAAATATACACCAATTTTATTGAACCTAATCATGGTGCATACGTCTGTGTCAAGCAACATTTCATTGTCTGAAATATCAAAAAATTTTTTTCATTTCCATAACTGAAATCTTGTATTCGGCTGATGATGGGCTCATATATGCCCGAAACATGTACCCCTATGTGATTTAGCTATCTCTGATCGTCAAATAAATGTTGTCGAGATGACTTTGGGTTTCTTCATCTATAATAAGTTATTTATCTATCAAAAAAATTTCACAGGGTTGGTATATCCTTGAATTGCTCACTTTGTAGATATTTACCTAAGGTCACTCTCGGAGCTGCAGCGTCTGCCTGTAACCAAAAGGTCACCCAAGATGTCATAACCAGCAGAATGGATGGCAGGAAATAATCCATTATGTAGTATCCCACCTCTCGTCGAAGTTTGAATTTGAAAACCACCGCACTATAATTTCCAGCTGAAATATTGAGTTATTACCATACACGGAAAAAAAGAAACTTTTGAATCGAGCAAAATGAATGAAGCTAATATAAGTGTCATATATGCATGACTAAATATAATCTAGAAATGAGCAAATCTATATCTTGTTTCGATGCGAATTTGAACTTTGAATCAAGTGAATATGTATTGCATGAACTCTGTATCTCATTTAACCAATTTACATTTAGTGTTTGGCAAGTCATGTACAATACAAATTCATTGGATCAACGAAATTTGAGTATCCAAATATATAAAAATTGAAACAATAAATAAGTAGAACACAAACATATCTCACATGGATGGACAAATATCAATCACACGCACACACAATTAAGTTCAATTAAAATTAGTAAGTGTTTCTCAATAAGGAGTCGAATGGAGACATTTAATCAAGCACACCCATGAATTGTTTATGAAAATATATTGCATTGGATCAAATAATCATTTTGTTTGATTCAAAATAACAAGATATTGATTCAATCTAATTTTCAGAGAAGGGTGTACCGAAAAAAAAAGCGCAGAGCTATGCGGAAAATGTAAAGTTGGTATAAACTTTTGTTACCAGAGGAAATAACTTCTACTCACGCCGGCGTAAAATAGTAGATTGTTTTATTAGGATCAAAAGTGACACTTTGTTTGACAGGCGAATTTGGCATTTGCGAGGCGGAGCGTTTAGCGAAGCCGAGCGAAAGCAAAATTTGCGAGTAGAACAAAGTCACTTTTGATCCGAATGAAACATGCTATTTTTTCTGCAACCGAAACAATCAACTCAAATAAACATGTGAAGTAACCACCAATGCCGTGCCATATGTATGCAATGCAACAAATATTAACAAATAATCCGTGTGGTGAGAATATTCTACCTGCATTAACAGCAGGTTAGGTTTTCAAGAATGTTCGAATTGTAGTTTCAATATAAATACAACCACAGAGTGGCATATTTGTGTATGGACCAGGTGCTCTAATGGCAAATACCGCGCCAGTGCCAGGTATAGGAACAAGACGTGGAAAATGTTAGGTTAGTGAGCATATCAACAATGATAATAGTGATAATTTATTCCTCTCCATACTACACTGTGTTTGACTTGATAATCAAATGAAGCAAAACAATATCGTTGTTTGAGATAAAAAAAATTTTGCTGGCCGCGATTATTCAAAAACAAGTTATCCATCCCGAGAATAACGAATAGAATACAGATCAAGCAAGTATTTGAATCTTGAAGGCTTCCCTGATCAAAACAAAAATACTTAACTGAGATGATTATAATTACAATACTGAACTATAATAAGGTGTATTTATATCTCCAGCATGGGTATGAAATGCCAAATCTGCTGAAATCGGAAACAAATCAGGTATGCGTCTCAAACTAAATTACCAACCGTCACAATGTTGTTTATTCTTGATGACGTTCAGTACATCCTTTTTAGTTCTTAGGAGCTAAAGTTCAACTTTAGCTCCTAGGAACTGGAATTCAACTTTAGCCCTCAGGAACTAAATATGTTGCCTAGCAACATACCTATTTTTGTGTCAGTAATAGAAACGTCAATTTAAGAGCTAATTTTGGTATCAAAATGGACGACTTTTGTGTCGGTTGCAGAAAAATGATTTTTATGTCCCTTCCTCAACTTTCGATTTACTATCTACTGATATTTAATTGGAACAGATACAGGGCGATCAGAGTTCTGAATCTTGAACCAACGTGATCGATAACGATCAATTGATATCATTTCGATTGAAAATACTTGCAGCCACATTTCGATTTCCATTGAATACCTTGAATGAACATAGTGATATTGCTGTCGATTTCCGTACTATGACTTTGCTGTTCAGCATTAGAATAGGGATCTTGGTTCAGGGCTATTAGCTTATGTTCAAGCAACCAGAGGTAGCTAGATTTTCTCCCCGCCTACGCGCATATTATGTGACGTCATCTGGGATACCAATATCAGCTGCTAGTCACAGACAGATGCCGTTGCCATGGGTGTGCGCAATGAATTCAATCATGTTCATTGAAATTTCAATTAGTTTCTCGATCTGTTTAGAAATAATTCAATTTATATAAACAGGTACCCATTCCTTCGATTTTACTATTTCATTGATTCTGGAAATTGTGATCTTGAGGTAATTCGCAATCGCAAATAGCAAATACATACGAATTATCATGCATTGCCAATCCCATCTGAATGATCCACTACTGCAAGTGTTGATTCTGACAGATAAAGATTCAGCAGTTAACGACGTTGATGTTGCTTCTGCTCCGACATCGACAACAGCAGTATCAATCTTTGCTGCAATTTATATTTTGTGAGAAATTAAGAGTTTTGAATTCATTTTCAATTATTTCTGACTTGATAATCGGAAGATGTTCTGGAATGGCATCTTGTTTCAAATATTTGTGATTTTTTGGAGGTGTGTAATTCAAGAACCGTACTTTCGCACTTGTTTGGGAACATTTCGCACGGAAATGTTTTGAAGAAATTCGTGCTGTAATATGAATGTGATGATAATATGATAGGTGAATACTTTGGAATGAGGATATAAGGAATAAAAGGTAGGTACCATAATTTGACTTTATATTCTGTCGGCAGCAAGCTCCCATCGTTTCATTAGGTCTCCATTCTTGGAAAAGCAGAAAAATTCAATATCTGTGCCATTTGTATGTTAGTTGGAATTTCCATAACCAGAAACGAAACAAGTAGGCATTTCGAAATTATTTCATTAAATTTTAGTTCTTATACAGGGTGTTTCCTAACTACGGTTCCTAACTACAGGGGGTGATTTGTTAGGTCATTTCAAGAAGATAAGTTTTTATGAACATATGTCCGGAGTTGCATCGTTTCTGAGATACAGGGCGTTGAAATTGAAGAAAACAAATGATAATAATTATAAAATATCATGAATATTCTGGAACCGATTTGGTTGAGATTTGGTACTTTTATTTGTCAAATTCTCTAAAATTTCAGCACATCAAGTGTCAATTAAATGTTTGGCGAAAATAATGAGAAACTCATTTCTCCAATGCAGGTGTTCATGATATGCAATACTATGGCTTTGATTTTTTTTCTCGAAAACGAAGCTGGATATGAAGGAAATGCAAGAGACCGAAAAGTTGTATTTTGAGTTGCTCAATCTAAACAAAATGGAAATTTATCAAAAAAAGTCAGGGGCGTACTTTTTCTTCACAATATTGTTGGCTGTGGTGCCCACTGAGGCGCCACTGGCCCCAATAATTTCAATCTAAATGGGGCTAAATAGGCGCCTTATTAGTTCAAATGCAAGTACCAAATTCCAACAGAATCGGTTCAAGGATATTCAAGATATTTTATAATTACCGTTTTTTTTTCTTTAATTTCAACGCCCTCTATCTCAAAAACGAAGCGGCTCCGGACATATGTTAATGGAAACTTTTCTTCCTAAAATGACTTAACGAATCACCACCTGCAGTTAGGAACCGTAGTTAGGAAACACCCTGTATAATATCTGAAGTTCGAGACATCAATCATGAAAACAAATAATAACAATGACAGTTATATCCCAGCTAACGTCATGCGCAGAACAAGACAAGTTTGAGCTTTCTGTTGAGCACACCATTTTCTCCTTCCACTATGATACCTGCTGATCTTTGAAAGATGTCCGGGTGAAGTTTCAATATGGTGTCAAAAACTAAAACCATTGAAAAAACCAAATGTGATAGGGACGGTAAAACCTTGAGAATCTCATTGAAACCTAACAAAAATAAGAAGAGCTCTTGGAGAGCCTCTTCGGTGAAAGAAGAACTGAAACAGTCAGCTCCGGCTGAAGAAGGTGGGGATTTCGCATATCATTTCTTCAAACTCAATTACGATAAAAAAATGTGCTACCTGATGAACATGGAAAGGAAAATGAAGAAAAGAAGGAAAGAAGAGGACCTCACTCAATTCTTGATCATCTGTTTTGTAATAGTCAGTCTGATATCACTTTTCTATTTTTCATTATTTTGATAGTTCACTTATTCATATAGAGAAATCTGGCAAATATACTTCTATACCTTTTCAAACCTCAAACTGAGACATCATTTTCGAATTGGGACTAAATGATTCAGCATGGATTGAACAGTAAGCACATTATATAAATTGAGACGAATCACTTTTAAAATTGGAATAACCAAATTCAAATTGGGACAAAACGATTAAGGGCTGATTGAACAAATTCAAATTGAAAATACCTATAAACAAACAAATTCAAATCGAGAATAATCAATTTCAATTCGGAACTATACAATATGGAATTGATTGATTCGGTAGCGAATCTGATGATGTTTATGATGTGAATGATATTAAATTGTACAAGGTGTTTCGTAGTATGTGGGAGGCACTTTGAGAGATGATAGGGAGTCTCAAGAGAATGAAAACGTTACGATAAACAGACGTCAGGCGGTCAGGCTTCGTTTGCGAGTAAGGTACAGGGTGTTAAAATAGTTGAAAATGAAAAATAAAAACATTGAATTCCTAGATTACCGCTCAACAAAAGTTCTTGATATTTGAATGCATAGCTCAGTACCTGAGAGTGATTGAATCGATTGCATTATTTAGTCAATCTGACTCCCAGTGGCACCGTTAAAGGGTATTGATGTGCGATTTTTCAGAAAAAAACATGGGTGGCGATGGAACTTTTCGAAATTTTATTCGAAAATATGAAAAATTTATCTGTTTTTCTTCTCTGCAAACTTTTTTCCAAACAAAGTGTCACTGACAAGCTATTGAATTTTTCTTTCAGGGTCACTGATAGAAAAATCAGTTAAACGCAGTGACATTTTGGGGCAAATCATCTGATATGTCCTACCACACATATATTGAAATAATACTCATATCTTCATTTTGTAGAAACGGGGAGAGAAAATACCAAATAATCGAATAAAATGAATGTAACACCTTTTCGCTTAACATACAGACAGTATTTAACCATTATTATCAAACACAGCACAAACTTTGATTTCAAATATTGTCCGCATCTTTCTCATATGAGTCATATCGATTCAAATATTGGGTACGATGAATTATGATTGATAATTATTTATTTCGATTTTAACACAATATTAACAATTTGTTTTCCAATTTGAAGTAGTTTGAACTCAAATTGAATGGTTTTATTCTTATTCCGACTGCAATTTGAAACTAACTATTCTAAATTTGAGAATGATTATTCTCAATTTGATTGTGGTTTCCTTTTTGGATGTATGATCAATTGATATTCATCATACAAGTCGTGGAAAAAAATTCTGAATTGGGAAAAAACCCAATCAAGAATCTGTGATCTATAAAAATAAGTTTCAATAGCCAGGAAAGTTGTTGTTTTCTGATGAATATCCAGATTGATATTATATCTACATACATATATCCATCTGAAGGAGAATGAATATTCTCAACTTCAGAAGATTTAATTTTCAAATTCTTATCTTGTGTGTTCAATAGATATAATTCAATGTTCGTTGTGGCATATAGCTAGGAAAGTAATTGTTCTCTGCTGAATATACCGAGAAAGAATTAGTATTACCATCACATAGATAGAAATTTCTTTTTCTTTCTTCTGGTTCCCCCGAAGAGGGATATCCTTGGAGCGCACGAAAGGGAATCCCTATAATGTTCAAAGAACATCGTGCGTTCCTAGGGAGGATAGGGACAGGAGGTAGGTACTGGAATTTTTTTTGAACTTCTGGAGATTATTATGTTGTTGGGAATACTTCCACAGGCAATGAATTCCAGAGCCTAGCCGTTCTATGGATGAAAGAGTCTTGATAAAGTGCTGCTCGACATCTTTATATAGGTTGACAACGAAAGGATGTGCTGACTGGGCTTGTCTAGTTCGTCTGATTGGTATTGCTAGTGAAGGGATGATAGCAGAGATTTACGAAGTATATTTTCCGTGGAAGTATCGATAGAAAAGTGAAAGGTCGCCAACCTTTCTACGGTGTTCCAATGATGTCAAAGAGTGAGTGAGTGTGGCGTCATTAAACTTGTATATACAGTATGATGTAAATGTATGGAATAAATTCATTATTTCAGAAATGGGCGACATTTTAAAAAATTCCAGAAACACGTGAGGTTTCATTGTTGAAGCCCCATCTCATGATATCCATATGAGAGATGTTACGTCACCGGTGTTGGAGTAATGACGTAATGAACGATTTTTTCAAATACAAACAGGGGTCATGTGACACCTCGTTTGAAAGGTCTACTGATCGTCTATTCAACAGTCAAAATTTTGCATAAGAAAATTGAGATTAAAATGGATTATCATTTGATTAACTGAATCTTGCAGAGGTCTGCTACTGAGAATTGAACAACGAAGGGTCGTCTATTCAAAAAAATACATCAATTAATGAAGTTCTGAAATCTACTTTCTGGATTTTTTTCGACAGTCGTCTTGTTTTGATATGAATTTATTCCATACATTTGCATCATACTGTATATATATACAAAATGTTTCGACCGACAACGCTTGACAGGTGATAGGTGATAACCCTTGTGATTTCATAATCACTAAGGTGGGGACATATGGTCTTCAAGTGTTCAGCTCTCGAGATACAGGGTGTGGAAGTTGAAAAATGAAAATAGTTTTTCCGCAATAACTCAAGAATGAATAGAATATTTTGATATGGTTTCATCTTCAGATGAGTAGTTTTTCACCAGAAATTCATTCCGAACATTTGATTCAGTGGTGCGCTACGGGGGTTGTGGTAGCTTTTTCTTCGATATTTTTTACGCCACTGATGATATTCCGATCATTTTCAATTTCTCGAATTCATAATTCATTGTTCAATTCTATTCATATATTGCATCACCTTCAACTGAGTTGAAATGAACAGTTCTCGGGATATTTGATCCAAAATAAAAGTTTGCATAATGATTTTTCTTCATTTTCAGTAGTAGAAAATTACAAAAATATTTGTTTTTTCTTTCTACATGAAATAACTATTTCTGTTCAGCTACAGAATGATATTTAGAAAGTATGTTGTCTACTTATCACCAGAAAAATGATTTTGTGATTTTCTACTCCTATTTGAGTACCACTGTATGGAATGTCCGGAATGACATTCTGGTCAAAGAATGACCTATTCCAAAATGAAACCATATACCGAATATGAATGTTAAATATTCCATCATTCTAGAGTTATTGCGAAAAAACTATTTTCATTTCACACCCTGTATTTCGAGTACTGAATACTTAAAGACCGTATGTCCCTATCTCAGTAATCATGAAATCAGGATGGCTATCACCTGTCGAGCGTTGTCGGTCGAATTTCGAAACACCTGTATATATCTATTTTTTCATGTGTATGATATATCTGAGCATATTCCTTTTTAATACTTGATCGTGGTTATTTTCATTACGAATTTGTTTACGAATTTCAATGTTTCTGATTCCAATTTGGAAGTGATAAGCAATTCGAATTTGAAAAGGTTTAGTTTTTGAAAAAAAATGCTCACCCAATCCCCCTCTCTCAAAAGATGGAAGCACGACACTTGTTTCGCACCATTTTTCCTCGAGAACAAATTCTGTTAAGTGAAGATTAGTTGCAACTTGAAAAGGTTTGTTTTTCTCCCACTGCAGTACTAAATTGGAAACGTTGTAAGCCCCTGAAACAAAAAAAGTAGCAGTCTTCAGCATCCAGCTTCTCCTGAAGACAACGTTTCGAAGTATGAAAAAATAATTGCGTTGATTTTACTAGGTACTTAGTGAAAGAGTGTAGCATTAACGAAACATGACATACCAAGAAAACAACAAAAATGTCGTTTCTACAAATGGTATTGAGTTAAGTCCACAGACATACAACATATTCATTATTTCAAAATTAAAATAATGGTCGACTACACTTTATAAAAAAAATTATTAAAAATTACATGTAACCGGGTTCGGCGCAACGGCCATCATCAGACAAAAAAGTAGTCAGGACTAGATTTGAGAAAAAGGCTTCCGTTACGAGTCTAGAAGCAAATCATATAACTATGAGGTTTAACACAGTGCAGAATTCAGAATCTTGATCACCCGGTATATGTCCCAATTAAATATCAGTAGATAGTTAATCAACAGTTGAGATAGGGACATGTAAGCCGTTTTGACCAATTATGAATAGTTTCGACACAAAGAATTCTTGAACTTGGAAAATCTCGATTTTTCACACCCTATATTTCAGTTATTATAACTGCTAGACCCCAAGTATGATGGGTCGTTGAAATCAGCTCATCAGGGAGAATCTCAAAATGAAATAATATATAGGGTGTTCGATAGAAAAAAGTTTAACTTCAGTGTTTTATGGTTTTTGGGGACACCCTGTATGTTTCGAAATAATTTTAAATGGTAGCCTATGTTGACATGCAACTTCCTAGAGAGGAAGAAGTCCAAGAAGATAAGTGGTTAGCCTTCTAGAGACCGAGGTGTTATTGGTGGCCCACCCTGTATACAAGTAATGTTTATGAGATATATACATCGTCATATAGGTACATAATGTACACATTTTATTGTGAGATTTTTGAGTTGACATATACTGATAATTTCATTGTCATAATTATTATTCAAAACGAAATTTTTCAAGATATTTCAAAATTGAAATTTTTTTCCTCCCATATCTCTCCGTCACTGTTCATTTTGAGAAAAAAACGTCTCGAGAACTTTTTCCTACAAAATTGAATGTAGAATATTTTTGTATAGATAGAACAACTTTTGCGCTAAACCTCATAGTTTTCAAGATATAAGCAAAAAACTGCAAAAAATAGGCCGCCATCTTGAATATCTCATTTCTGGTCAGGATTTCGAGTTGGTAACAAGCATTTTCGGATTCAGCAGGGTCGAATTACCTATAAAACACCTTCAACTCAAATGTAATATGATTCGCTTCTAGAACTTCACTTTTTCGATTTCTTGTCCTGACCATAGATTCCTGACTATACATATATGGATAGAATCAAACATGAGGGCAACTCAAGTCGTCAACGGGCTATCAGACTCCAGACTTTGAGATTTTCATTGTTTTTCTTCTGAAATTACTTTGGACCACTTTGAGATATGGATGATTTTCATGATTCATATTCATTATTATCAAATTTGTGTGTCATTGATTGAGCAATAACTGTTATCAAAGAATAACGTTACAACAAAAAACACAAGTACAAAATACAAACTCATCAACGAACGTCAAAATTGTACTCTACCATCAGCCATTTTGACAATCACAACGATTTGGGATATCAAACCCATAGTGTACGTACACACTGCTTTATTTCATCATCATTATCAAGAATGCATCAGAAGGGTCGAGAAATCATCATGCTCTAGCTGAAAAAATAATTGGACGCGGATGAAGAAAATTCTAGTTTTCTATTTCCTATTATGTTTAACTTTTACAATGTAGATTTGTGGCAACGTTCAAAGTTATAATTTTTTCGGAATGTGCATTGTTCTTTATTTTCATAATTGTCGTTTCAAATCTAAATGTTATGATAATGTTCTTACACATACAGGGTATTTGGAGTCATTGATAATAATTTGTCCCAAATACAGACTTGTCCTTTAGTTTTTCAATTAGGTTGGGATCCAAACATTATGAGACAGAAAAATAGTTGATGATTTCATGGATAATAAATGGTGAGGTACCATTTGGGACCCCAAATTCTTTTTTTGAATTCGAACATGTATTCGTCAGGCAGCCTGTTCGAAAACGAGTAAAATGATTTTTTTGACTCCAACTGTCACTCAATCCTGAATTAGGTATTGACTGAAGTTATTTCATTGCATATAAGGTTTGATAAGCTTTCCTCTGAGAAAACGACAAAACAACACTATAAAATAGACTAGTGTATAATAACAATAACAATTATCTCATTTGCATTTGCATAGAATGCACGCGAATTACTATCTTTTGTTCTCACTTGGATTTTTTATGATTTCCTGTTGAGCTGTAGAGAAATTTCATAGTATTTGCACGAACTGTTGTTATAAAAAAAAATAATCCGTGTCTCAAACGAATAACAAAAATTAAATTTCTATTTTGGTTCCTATCTTGATAAGTATTCTGGCTTATTGAAGTTTGGCAGGTAGAAATTGAAAATCCTTATGAAACAGCAACAATCATCAACGTATCTTATTCACTATACAGTGTGTCCTCAGGACTCACTACCCCTATTTATTTTTCTATCGATCTTGATAATAGTACTGTGAGGACGTGAAAGGTCGGGTAAAATTCAAGTTTAAAGGTATGCTACTTTTTGGCATGAAAATGGTTGTGGTAACGTGGCCTGGCCTAGTGTCAAAAGGGCATCATACCAAAAACTCATATATAACATATAACTTCCAGAAATTCAAGAACACCAATTCCTACCTTATTTTTCTTGGTTCTCACGATGTTCTCCGAACATTACAGGATATCTCTTTTCGTCGGAACCACAAAAAAAATTAACTTCGTTTGTGCAAATCGCTCAAGTCGTTTCAAACTGACAAGTGTTTGGATTGAGATGTTAGAAGTTTACCTCAGAATAAGCCTCAGAAACATTAAATAACAGTGAATGAGCTATACCAGTACGGCCTTATTTGATCACTTTTCCCATGCAAATCTCCAGAAGAAAATTTCTGGTCAAAATTGTCCTCGGCCTCGAAGTCGACGAGCGGTCTAACCACAAACCGAGCATCAATCAACACCGCAAACTGAAATTCAATAACAAGATGAAAAAGACTACAGGGCGATTAAAAATCCTGAGTCAAATGAAAACAGAGGGTGCGAGTCGAAAAAACTTGAGGCAAATGAAAAAGTTGGAAAAACATATTATTAGGCATAATGATAAAAACCTGGACTTGAATAGAAAATAGGGTGAGTCCTAAAATACGAGCCATATGAGGAATTTGATTAAATTACATCGTGATTGGGTTCATGGTAGTTCGATTTTTTTCTGATTGATTTTTTTCCGCTAATCTGCCTCAGGTTTTTATATTCACTCACCATCTCTTCATTTGACTTAGGATTATGCTCGTCTTATGGCTAGTACGCTCGTCGACTTCGAGGCCGACGGCCATTTTCGCTATTTTTGACCAGAAATTTTCTTATTGGAATTTGCGTGGTAAAAGTGGCCAAATGAGGCCATACTGATATAGTTTATCCACTAATAAAGTTCAGAATGAATACCAAAACCGACTTTTTTGTCAATAAGTAAATGGTGAATATTTCTAGCATATTCGGGCACTAGTAACAATAATTGCTACTTAAAATTTAGTCGCAACTGAAAGTTATTCAGGTTTTTTATTTATTTGTGTAATATTTGATGCAAACTTCCATATACTTATTTTCAGTTAACGGCTTGGTCGATTTGAACAAACGAAGCGGTTTTAAATATAGAATCGAGAGGCTCTCGATCAGAACACTCGAAACCAGATATCTCGTGGCCTTTAGATACATTTGAAAAAAAAAGTTGATGATGATGCCCTATTGAGTCTTGACACTAGGTCAAGTGACCAAAACTAATTCGATGCCAAAAGTAGTGAAAGAGGTAACTTCTTACCTAAATTTTACCCTACCTCGCTATAGCTAATTCCGTTCAAAAGTTAAAAAGAGGCGGGAGAGACATTTTTCCGTCCTCACTGTATTATGCAGTTTAATATACTGTGACTCGAAGAATCAACATTCCATTCCATTCCATGCATTCAAATATCTTATTCCTCTAGCTGAAGAATACACACCATTACTATACAGGGTGATGTTATCTTAGACGATTACGACAAACGGTCTATCAATCTGAAAATTTTTCAGCAATGCAGCGTTTGCCGCTTATACCAGAAAGTAGTAGCAACTTTGATATTTCGAATAAAATACCCATCATCAATGCATCACACGTAGGGCCTAGCGGGAATGATAACAGAGATATAGGGTGTTCAAAATCGAGATTTCCCAACTTCATAATTTTTCGTGTCGAAACTGTTCATAATTGGTAAAAAACATGTCCCTATCCTAACTTTTCATTTACTATCTACTGAAATCTATTCAGAACATCCACCCACAAAGTTGCTACTACCTTCTGGTGTATTGCTGAAAATATTTTAGATCGATAGACCAGTCAAACCAAGAGCAACTACTTCAGTAACCATATTTTCATAATAATCCTATGTCCCGTTCTAGGTGAAGGTCTAAGGTACTATCGACATTTCCTTGATGCATAATTCCATTTCAGGTAAAATTAGTTTTTCTACTCACATAACTAAAATGGCATTTAGCGTATTTCGATTTCTTAAACACATTACCATGGCAACGCAGTTCATTAAACACAGCTTCAGTAATTTGAGACATGTCTGGCCTGTCAATTGTATTAAGCTTTTAACTGTCAACTCTTATTTTCGAATTTTGTATCAGAATTATTCAAACAATATTCGTTTGTATCAGAATTCTTCATTAAAAACATATGCGAAAAGTAGACGAAAGTGAAATCGAAGATAATATTCTGGTACGTGCATATCTCCAAGAAGTGTAAAAATGAAGCATCCATCTTTGAGAACAATTTATTTATTCTGTGCTAAGCATGACAATAAACCATATACGTATTAATAATCAATACGGATAATCTCTATCTGTTTCCATAGCGAAACATGAAGCCGATTTTTGAAGACAAATGACTATCCATAAGGAAAAGTTTTGAAACGATCAGACACATACTGCTTTGATTGAAAGGCTAGTAAACGTCATTGTCCACCGAAACGCATGTCTTTGATGACTACTATAATAGCGCATGGCGCATGCGTATCATGCCACCAAATCCTTATGGATATTCATTTGTTTCATATTTTTGGCTTCATCCTGGCACCCGTAATGATCCGTATTGTTTATTAATACAGATTAATACGTATTTGCAATAAACGTGAAACAAAAATTGGTAAGCAATGGACTGGACACATCTACAACCAATATCATTTATACGTCTCTCGCTAGTTGCATGCAGTTGCATGTATTATGTTCTCAATTCCCATTCCTTTCGAATTGATTTGTAGGTTAGCAGGAATTGCAGGTATGTTTACGTAATTTTCGGAGTTCGTAGAAAAATCATAGTATGTAACGCGTTTATAAACTCTTCTAGGCACTCGTTTATTAAACACTCGCTCCGCTCTGCTCCGCTCGTGCTTAAAATACCCGTTACTAAAAGGACTTTTAAAACACTTGTTACATAATATACTAGAAAATAGTTATTTATACACAAATGTAGTTAAGAATATCATCAATTACCCAGGGACCTAAAGATAATTTTATCCCGAGGCTTCAGCAGAGGGGTATAGGGTATCGTGGTTATATAATATTCTTTTTCTACTCTCATAACTAAAATGGCATTTAGCGTACGGATATGTATCACGCTAAATGATCGATTAATCACGGATTGACGATCTGTGATTCATTCGAAATATTAAACACGTTACCATGGCAACACGATTTCTTAAACACATCACCATGGCAACGCAGTTCATTAAACACAGCTTCAGTAATTTGAGACATGTCTGGCCTGTCGATTGTATTAACTGTCAACTGTTTTTTTTTCAAATTGTGTATCAGAATTATTCAAACAATATTCGTTTGTATCAGAATTCTTCATTAAAAATATATGCGAAATGTAGAATAAGAAAGTGAAATCGAAGAGATGATACTTGCGTATCTCCAAGAAGTGTAAAAATGAAGCATTCATCTTTGAGAACAATTTATTCATTCTATGCTAAGCATGACAATAAACGTGAAACAAAGGTTAAGCATTGGACTGGACACGTCTACAATATTATACGTGTCTCGCTGGTTGCATGCATCAGTTGCATCTATTATGTTCTCAATTCCCATTCCTCTCGAATCATTTTGTAGGTTAGCAGGAATAGCAGGTATGTTGATGTAATTTTAGGAGTTAGTAGAAAAATCATGTTATGTAACGCGTTTATAAAGTCTTCTAGACACTCGTTTATTAAACACTCGCTCCGCTCGTGCTTAAAATACTCGTTACTAAAAGGACGTTTATAACACTTGTTACATAATATACTATTACTACCATCGTGTATATTACATTTTTTTTCACTGCTATTGATATAATTTCAATTATATTATAGTTCTTTGAAACAGGAATATAGACCTATCGTCATTATGCACTTCTCTTCAATTCTAATTACTACTAGTAGTCATGACCATGAAAGCATAATAGCAAGTCGTTATTGATAAATACCTACTAGATTCGAGTGCCATTCCTGCGCATTTCGCATCAGAACAGTGTATTCTAGTATAATCATAACAGAGATGGCTATGTCTTTATTGACTTGTAGTTCATGAAATGACGAAATATACCTTGGTACTTAACGCCTTGAAAAGAAGTAAGCAATAGTAGGTTCTATAGCTAGTGGTAAAAAAAGATTGTATACAGTGTGACCCATTTCAAATGGAACCACCCCTGTATCTCATGTAATCGTTAGGTAAGGATCCTGAAATTTGCTGGAGCGAGAGATATACCAAAAATGCACTCTATGACCAAGTGGGGTCTTCTTCAGTGATATACACTGCTCGCCAACAGCCATGGAACCACCCTAATTTCCGGAAAATGATATTAGGAGTCAAAATAGGTTGAAAATCACTTCGGATTCGGAATCAAGACGCATCCTTCACTAACTATCCATAGTTTTCCTAGGAAATTTTCAGTTCAGAAAAATTAAATTTTGTCCCATTTCTCATGGAAGCACCCCCGTATCTCACGTAATTATTGAGGTAGGATTCTGAAATTTGCAGGAGGAAGGGAAAGTCCAAACATGAAGTCAATTACGTAAGATACGGGGGTGCTTCCGAAAAAAATGCGACAAAATTTCATTTTTCCGAACTGAAAATTTTCCAGGAAAAATTTGAATAGTTAGTAAATTGGGCGTCCTGATTCCAAATCTGGGGAATTGGAATTGGGGTAGTTTCATGGCTGTTGGCGAGCAGTGTATATCACTGAAGATGACCCCACTTGGTCATAGAGTAAATATTTGGTATATCTCTCGTTCCAGTAAATTTCAGGATCCTTACCCAACGATTACGTAAGATACAGGGGTGGTTCCATTAGAAGTGGGTCACACTGTATATGGGTGGCAAGTTCTCAACGTGGATACATTCAAACATTGTTCATGAGGTGGTCCAATGAAGAGTAAAATTCAATACAAATACTCACAGCTGACCCACGTGATCTCACAGATCTGGTGATCGAACGGGAACTTCTGCAAATTCATCCAGCAATAGAACATGGTGCTCATCCTGTAGGAGTAAATGACGTTCCCGTTGGGACTTATCTGGACCAGAACATCTTTCCCGTCCAGACCCATCATACCGGACTCTCTCTCGTTCATGATAATCAGGTGCGGAACCCAGATTTTTTCGCGCAGGGTTATTTCCCCAACGATGTTGCTTCTGGTGGGCGATAACTTCGTGTAATTCAGCCTCCGGTCTGTGTAGAACAGTTGCACTATGATGTGGGCCTTTAATTGCTACAAATAATTAATTATTGAAGCCATGAACGCATTCTTCCTCAATAATTTCATTGTATAGTTTCACGTTTGTCGCCCCAACAATGTGATAATTGGGCACGTTTATACCGTGTCTTGGTAAGCTGACTAATGACTATTTTTTGACTAAGCACTCTTGGTCAGTTTTGTATAAACTGTACACTTGGTTATCAGCTTGATTTGGTACCGGAAGTTGTGGCGTACCAGACTAAAATAGTATGATGACCAAGACGGTGTAAACATTTTGGTCTACTTTTGTATAATCTTGAATTGACTTGAGTGCAAGTGGCAGTTATTTCATGAGTTCAAATGATGATATTTCAATCAATTTCAGCTAATTTCGTATCCTACTGAAAGGTTTTATTCTTAATTTCAAGTGGAGTTCCACAACCTTACCTCAAAAAATAATCGAATCGAAACAAAGTTGGTAACGGTAGTCAACTGAAGATACATGGTGTAAACATGCGTTAACTAAGACATTTGGTCTGAATTTAGTTAGCTCTCCTTGGTAAGCATACCAACCATCCATACGGTATAAACGTGGCCATTAAAGAAGATAAGCGAAGGAAAATATACAAATTTTGGGTCTTGGTCAGTCTCCAACCATACTGAATTATGGCACCATGGAAGCTTATACAGAGGGGTTATAATTATAAACAATCAATCCTTCCAACTTCAACATCTTGTATCTCAAAACAGGGCAAGTTAGGACACATGTTTATATGAACTTCATTTGCTTTAATATCACAAGGAATCACCTTTAATTATTTTGGTGTTATTTAGACACACCCTGTATACTGGGTATATACACTGTGTCCAAGATAAGAATGAACAGCATGGGGATCTCCGAAACGGTAGGAGATACGAAGTCGTTTGAATGGGGAAAAAGTTGCGCATTTGGAGGCTCATATCAAGAGCCTTCGAAAATTTTGAAAATTATTTTTAGTTTTTGAGTTATATCGAAAAAAGTGAATTTTTGGAATATCTTTCTTATTATTTTTCTCCGTTATTAGTAGAGATACAGCAAAACTGAGGATACTTCTTGATAGCAACTTTTGATGACGTTCAACGTGGTGATACCGATTTTTTATGCAACTTTTCGTATTCGTGGAACCATCATCAACTTTTGTTTTTTAAATACGATCTTGATAATTTTTTCACAGATTCTGAAAGGTTTTTTATTCTGAATTCAACCATGCATTATACAAGGTGTTTTATGTGTGTTTCGACCTACTTTTAGCCATCATCAATGTTTTTTCGAAATTCCAAAGGAAAAACGCCATCAGTTCCACTTATTTTCAAGGAAAATTAGTCAACACACTGATACCTCATCAACTGGTTTCAATCAACAACCCATTTCATTTTGCGGAAACAAAAATTCCATCCCTACAAATTCAGAATATGTCAAGCGCTAAAACCAGGCGATGACGAAAGGCGCAGGACATTTTGTGAGTGGTATACCAGGAAATGTCAAAATTTTGCAGATTTCCCTCGAACAATCATCTGGACTGATGAAAGCATGGTCACTAATCATGGTATCTTCGATAGAAAAAATACACATTATTGTTCACGAGAAAATGAACATTTATACATTACAGCGAGACACCAACACCGTTTCAGCTTTAATATGTGGGTTGCAATATTTGGTACACGAATTATTGGTCCTTCTATTTACTATGAAACACAGACTTCCGAACTTTATAGAAATTTGCTTGAGAACCATTTTGAGGAAGCTCTGGATGATTTACCGATTGCGGAAGTTCAGAACTGTTGGTTTCAACAAGATGTTGCTCCGGTACATAATTCCAGAGAAGTCCGTGCGTTTATATCCAGAAAAATGGATTGGTACTCATTCTACAGTCCCTTGGCCGACGCGGTCTCCTGTTTTGACACAGCTGTATTTTTTCTTAGGGGATTTAACAAACTTTGTATACGCAAATAACTTTGATGATGAAGAAGAACTAAGGGACAGTATATTCGAAGCATTCATTAGAATAACCCCAGAAATGCTTAGCAATGTCTTAGAAGCAACTGTGAGAAGAGGATATCTTCGTTCAGAAAATGATGGTTATCATTTTGAACATTTGTTATGAATGTCTCTGTAGGTATTGTCAAAGTTAAGTTGTTAAAGTAATTCGTGTGAGAATTCATCAACAATTTTAAGCGCTTCATCGATCGAATGATGTAGTGAAATATTTTTTATTCACTTTTCAGTATTGAATAACTAATCCATCGAGTTTGACATTGAATGATCAGAAATAAGTGGAACTGATGGCTTTTTTCCTTTGGAAGTTCTAAAAAACATTGATGATGGATAGAAATAGGTCGAAACACATTCGAATCACCTTGTATAATACATGGTTGAATTCAGAATGAACAAACCTTCCAGAATCTGTGAAAAAATTATCAGGACCGTATTTAAAAAACAAAAGATGATGATGGTTCTACGGATACGAAACGTCGCATAAATAAATCGGCATCACCAAGTTAAACGTCATCAAAACTTGCTATTGAAAAGTATTCACAGTTTTTCTGTATCTCTAATAATAACGGAGAAAAAAAATAAAATAGATATTCCAAAAATTCACTTATTTCGATATAACTCAAAAACAAAAAATTATTTTTGAAATTTTCGAAGGCTCTTGATATAAGCCTCCGAATGCGCAACTTTTTCCCCATTTAAACGACTTCGTATCTCCTACTGTTTCCGAGATCCCCATGCTGTTCAACCTTATCTTGGACAGACTGTATATTGTTACATTCTGAGGAATGAATCTCTATTAGTGAACAAATAGTTTTATATTCGTACGTGATTTTAAAATATGTGAATTATCCATAAACATACTAAGCCTACTTAACGCTCTTGATCCATATATAAGTATTAATAGGTTTCACTTACCAGGTGATCAGCAGATTCGATATGTGTCATGTCAAATTGGAACACCACCTCTAGGGGTAGAGAAGATGGTGGTTTGGTGAGTCGATCATACCTACAACTATCTGTCAACTTCGAAGAAAAGTCGTCCTGTGTTAAAATGTCCAAATCAGGGTCCAATGACATATCAGGACATTTGTCATCATCAATGAACGGTTTCGGTGTGTCCGCAGTGACAGTGGAAGTAGACAACATCGTAGTAGGCTCCGAAGTTGTTGACGTAGTAGAAGGAATAGCAGAAGTAGTAGCGGCGGTAGTAGTGGAAGAAATGCTAGTAGTTGCTATTGTTTTTTCAGTGATATCGATGGTTTGGTTCGTCATGGGAAGTGACGTAGGGGTCGATATATGTGTTTCAGCAGGTTCAGTCACTTTTATTTTTTGTATTGACGTTTCTTGGGAACTTAGTGTTGAACTAGGTATATTCATAATCGAAGAAGTTGACGCAACATCACTTTGACTGTAACAAAAAGAAATTTATTCACAACCATATATTATGTGAAAACTTCACAAAATTCTCAAACACACGAAATGTTTCGCTAACACAGTAGCTTCGTCAGGTGATATACTGGTACAATGAACTACTAACGTTGGCTTGCTTGACTTTTATATATCCTACTTTTCCAACCTGAAGGATTAGTTACCTGTGGACAGGTACCCTTATCAACATAAAATTGCAGCATATAATAGTATGATACACAGGCTAGTGAATAATGTCCCTTTTTCGGAAGTAAATTTCAATACAGAACTCAATTTCATAAACAGATCATAAAGCTATTCAAGGAGTTTATCCTACCATCAAGAATAATAATCAAAATTATAGAACTTTAAACCTATTTCGGATCATCAACTGAGAAATTAGCTTCATTTCTACATAAACAGCACTTAAAAGTGGCATATAGAACAAATAACACGTTGGGACGGTTTATCAAGAATAATAAAGACAAAACTTCTAAATTCGAAAAATCAGGGGTGTACAAACTCAACTGTGGATCTTGTCCTAAGGTATATATCGGTAAGACAGGTCGTACGTTTAATCAGCGCATTCATGAACATCAGATGAATTTTATGAAGAAGAAAACAAATTCAACATACGCCAACCATATATTAGAAGAAAACCATAGTTTTGATGATAATTTCGAAATTCTACACGTAGGAAATAAAGGACTGAAACTCAATAATTTTGAATCATTAGAAATCAACAAACTCAAAAATGTTGACATTTCACTTGATGATCAATTAGACCTCAATAGTTCACCACTGTTGAATTTGTTTTCTTAGTAAGTAATAACATGTATTTGCTATCAACTCTTTCAAGTTAATCCGGTACACCGTATTTTAATGTAGATATTGTGCCTAATTTCCGAAAATGGAGGTTTATTGTGCCTGTCCACAGGTAACTGATCCATCAGGTCGCTCTGAGCACCCGGTATTTCCATATTCACCTTTCCGTACGTAATAAGATACGCCGTCTTCCAATTTCGACGAAATAAATAGGAGTATGTGAACATTATGAGATTACCGTAAGCCGCAAGGCATCAAACAATAACCAGTACTTTTCGAATTATCTTAAAAACAAATAATTTTATCGGAATTTTACAAAAATCAAAAAATACTCAAAAATGATTGAACACATGAAGAAAAGTAGATAGGAAGTCATTAACGCACGTACAAAAAAAATATGGGGGTAAGTGTGTACTTGACCCCCAGTATTTTGAATATTTGACAGTTATTTTCTGTTTTGTTTTCCTCACACGATGTAACTCTTTGTGCTGAAGTAATGTACCTATTTTGAGATTAATATCTCATTAATTACGCGAGTAATTAGAAAAAAAACAGTTTTTAATTTTCATCTTTGACACCCTGTATATCGAATAAGAAGGGCTAAAATGAAAAATGGTATTTAGAAACTCATATTATTTTTGTTCAAGGAATATATGGTTAATGGATTGACCTCCTTTTAGCGGACACCCTGTATATCTCGAGAATAATTTGTGCTATGAATCTGAAGTAACTACAGACACCTCAATTATTCTCAACATTCGTGGTGACAATGTTGCCGCTTCTCAGAATTCATTCGAGACCTTGATAAAAATGGTATGTAAAGAAAATTAACGTTCTTGCTCCTTTGTAACTTTGTGACTCTATAGTCTTCCATCTTACACTTCATATCCTTTGAATTTCCGGAACACCTCGTAAGTTGAAAGAGAAGTAGAAAAAAGTCTTGTTTTGAGATCACAGCCGACGTAGATTATGTATATTTGTTGATTGTTAAATTATATTTGTTGTGACTCAGAATAATTATATGACTCTCAACCAAACAGTGATTGTATCATCAAATACTATCAACCAAATATTGACTCAAACACTCTTTAATCAACACACATAATTAACGGTGATATTCATAAATTGAAGAAATTAAATACCTTGACTATTTGGTGATTGCTCGAATTAAAACAGAGGTATATTTGTCGGCTGGATGAAAACGAATTACGCATTTCGTTTGCAAATATTAATTGCTATGAAATATGAATCAGAATAATACGAATCATAAGGTCAAAGAGGTAATAAGATTGTCGCTATAAATGATGTATATTATGATCTTCATAAAAATGTATACATAATGTCCTTTACTGGAGTTCCTTTAGCTTTAGCTGAATATAAATGCCAGTCAAAAGCTCGTCATAATATGTTTCTGAATAGAAACCATTATTCGTTGAAATGCAGAAGTATCAGCTTTTTTCCTACGGTTACAAAAAAAAATCGTATATTGTTTAACGAGCAGGAATGATAGTGATTTCCAACGAGAATGAAGTTATACACTATAATTCTTCTACGACTGTAACAGATAACAGAGACATTTTTGATTTCTTTGACTTGTAGCCATCTGATTTCCTGTCAAGTAATGCTCATTCATCAGACAGAGTCATTGCTTCACATTTGACATTCCATGAGCGATGGGATTTTTTTGAAATAATAACACAATGGAGTCATTGTGATATCAGATACGGAAATAAAACTGATGACATACAAAGTACCTCATTGATGTGTCGAACAAAGTGAAACAAGAGCAATTTTGTATTATAGCCGTAGAAAAAATTTGTTTTGAGCCAAACTATCCATTTCTGAGGAATCTTCCCCTTGAGTATTGACTTCGTAAGTATATTGTTCAAATTTTTATTATCGCTTGGAGCGCACGAAAGGAAATTCCTATAATGTTCAAAGAACATCGTGCGTTCCTAGGGAGGATAGGGACAGGAGGTAGGTATTGGAATTTTTTTTGAACTTCTGAAGATTATATGTTGTTGGGAATACTTCCTCAGGCAATGAATTCCAGAGCCTAGCCGTTCTATGGATGAAGGAGTTTTGATAAAGTGCTGTTCGACATCTTCCGAGGTTGACAACGAAAGGATGTGCTGGGCATGTCTAGTATGTCTGACTGGTATTGCTAGTGAAGGGATGGTAGCAGAGATTTCCGAAGAACATTTCCCGTGGAAAGTGAAAGGTCGCCGACCTTTCTACGGTGTTCCAATGATGTCAAAGAGTGAGTGAGTGTGGCGTCACCCACCAGGCGAATGGCTCCTCTCTGGATGGAATCTGAGAGCATCAGCGTATGTTTTGGTGCTGAAACCCATATGTGGGAACAGTATTCTAGAACAGGCCGTATCTGCGCTTTGTAGATCATGAGAAGCTGTTGAGGTGCAAAGTAGCTTTCCGCACGGAACAAGAATCCGAGTTTTTGTGAAGCAGCTTTTGCGATAGATCTGACATAATTATCTCATGAAAGAGTGTTGCTGATCGAAATACCGAGCATAGATATGGTGGGCTTGGTGGGGATGGTGGTGCCAGACATAACAATGTCGGGCATACTCCGCCTTTCTAGAGAAATTACAGGCTTGAGTTTTGTGGCGTTGATTTCAACTAGGTTGTTGGTTCCCCAGGCTGTGATTTCAGCAAGGTCTTCATCGACAGCATTGACCTGCCTGCGCCGTGAGTTCTTAGTTTCCTAGGAAGAAATGGGAATTCTGGAAGAGAACGCAGTATGAAGGGTATTATCATCTGCAAAGCTATGGATGGGGCAAGTTGTTACTCCCAACAGATCATTGATATAAAGAAGGGATAATGTTGGTGCCAAAATTGATCCTTGTAGAACGCCGGAATTAATGCCAATGGTATCAGACGATACATCGTCCACCACCACGTGAATAAGCGATCTGCATGAAAGAAAACTCGATAAGAGATGGCATAGCTGAGGTGGTAAACCGTATGATGGTAGTTTGTGGAGGAGTCCTTCGTGCCAAACACGGTCAAATGCTTTCGATATGTCCAACGTGACAGCTAGAGATTCCCCGTGTTTTTCTAATGAAGCTTGCCATAAATGGGTGACGTAGGCAAGTAGATCTCCAGTAGATCTTCGGTAGCGAGAGCCGTTTTGTCTATCATTGATGATTCCTGAGCTCTCTAGATATTTGGTAAGCTCAATATTGATGGCTTTCTCCATCACTTCGGAGATCACTGATAACAGGGCAATGGGCCTGTAGTTGTTGGGCAGGTTCTTGTTCCCTTTTTTGGGGATTGGTTGGACTCTAGCTGTCCTCCAGCATGATGAAAAAATACCCGACCTGTACGAGACGGTAAACAACTTGCAGAGAATCGGTGTTAATTCGGAATCTACATGGAAACCTGAATTCGAAAACATATCACACATAGGGTTAGTATACAGTGCGTCTGTTAAATTCAGTGCTGTCTACCAGACGATACCAAGAAGAGTTGAGAGTCTGTCTAATAGTTATTTATGTAATAAGGATCATAAAGCCGAGTCCGATAACACGGCGTGTGCCATAATGATTGTTTATAATTCGTATTACATACAAAATTTTATCTGATGGCATTTATATCAATACATTTTCGAAAAATTAAAAACTGCATTTTCGACATGTCACAATGACAACTATTTTGATAGGAGTAAGTATTGTGTAGTTTAATATTACAAATTGTAGTAATTGTTCTTTTACCATTTATAATAAATAGTTTTGTACATAGTTATGCATTTTGAATAAACTTTTTTGATCAAACCATTACATGTTTTCCTTATAGAATTTCAATATGGTACTTAGTACCATAATGAGCTTCCTTATGTCATCAAAATTGAGTGACATAACGTTGTCATTATGACATGCCATCAGATAAACACAATTATTCGTATTTCTGCCAGTAAATAACTATGGAGTTTGTGCCACTATTCCAACCCTCGTGATCGCCTACATTTAGCTTTAATAAAATGTTGAAAGTTATACAGTGCATGTCTAAAATCTCAATTCTGAACTACCCTGTATCTATTTCAATCAAATATCAATTGATAGTACGTGAAAAGTTAAGATGAAAACCGTTCTGACCAATTATGAATAGTTTCGACAAAAAAAATTCCTAAAGTTAAAAAAATCTCGATTTTTCACATCC